TAATGCGAATCTAAAACCAAGCTATTATCGAGAGACTTCAATTACAAAACTACCATTACACAAGCAGAAAATTGTAATTGGATTATGAAATATTTTGCTTTTCATTTCAGACAAACCCAATTTGGAAAAATTGTCGCAACAACGTCATGTTTTGTCTGGTTGCAGGTGAGTTCAAAATAAACTGATAATAAATCATAGCAAGAGAGAAAGAGGACGTGCAAGCGAACGAGATCGATACATAATTAGGGGCGGCAGCCGAGGCAATTAGCGGACGCGAGCGGGTGAATTATTCAAAGTCAATAACTCGTCGTCATCATCGAGGCGCCGAGCACTCGGCTAGGCGGCGCCTAACTTTTGATTCACACCACACTTGATATTGTTCTCTCGTTTTATTGGCAAAGTTTGGCGCGCGCTAACGAGATTTGGGCCGAAAGCACAAGAGCAGGCAGCTGCCGCCCGATTATTATATAACTCGCGGACGAGAAAATAAAATGAAAGGTATGAGCTAAATTTTGGGCCTGATGACTTAATACTCGCTCTTGCAGTTTTCGCACCGAGTCATTAAATCTTAATGAGAGCAAATGGCTCTTTTAATTACAAAAGTTTGGCAGCAGGTGTTTGTTTTAATGAAGGAAAACTAATGTAATGTTGAAATATATACATACATGAAAAAACTATACATAAAATAAAATAAAAATTTACAAAAATAAAATAATTTTTTTTTATAATTTTATTTTTTTTTAATACTAGAATATTGTTTTATTACCAAATATAATTTTACAAAAATACTAAATACTAATAAGAGATTATCTAATATGTGATGAGTTCAGTTTTAATTATCAATTTCATTTTTCATGAAGTCCACCTCAAGTGTCTGATTTTAATTAAATTAACACTGAGCTGATGAAATTTTTAATTTAATTTAACAGTTATTTACAAACCAAATTCCTGATGATTAAGACGAGGACCTAAAAAGGTTTCATTTAAATTTTATATTTCAAGTATTAATAAAATGATAAATAAATGCATTATAGAGCTTTTTCATTTATAAAAGCAGAATAATTGATTTTAAATTTAATTTTGGGAAATCTACATAATTAATTAATTAATTTTTTTATTTAATTTCTCTCTCTTGTAATCAATGTAATTTATAATATTGAATGTATGGATGATGTATTTGGGCAGAGAATGCCCGGTGGTACATTAATAAACACAATTTGTAACTATAATTAAGATTGTATTATTTTGTAATGATATTTGTGTCAAATTTTCCACAGCTTTGTCGGGGGCAGAAATGGGCACTCAATGTCCGAATCAATATTCAGTGCACATTTGTTTTACACAATATATTAATACATTTACGCAATCCCTCTTATTTGGACGTGAAAGGTTATTTTTGTACATAAGCAGGTGAGTGTGTTGAGCGCGCTTGGCCAAGCAAAAGTGTATTACGTTGCGCTGTCTCTCTTCCTCTCACGACATTTTTGCGAGGTCTCACTCACACATATATCGCGAATGAAAAGCCGTACGAATGTTTTTGGTGTGCGCTTACGTGAGCGAGCACCGCGCACTGTGGAGCTTCGCGCGCGCGATTCGCGAACGTCGGAAATCATCATCTCTCCCACAGCTGACCTGGATACGGCAAAAAACGCGATATTCCGACTCAAAAGTCAAATCACTCAACTTCAGCATAAATATCAAATTCAGAGTGTTTCGGTATAATAAGAAAAGCTATTTACGGACGAGTACGTGTAATGTATAAAACATGAATGTTCAGTATCAACTAGCATCGCACTTTAACTCGGGAAATCTACATAGAGAGGAATTTCGGGTCATTTGATTTCCAAATGGGCCAACGTGAGATAATGTGACGCATTAAATTCGTGAGATCTGTTTATAGAAAATAAGTCACGTTTTTGCAGTTACTTTGAGATAGAAAATTTGTCTTGGAATTTCAGTAAAATTTTAAAAATTTCCCATTATTTATTTAATATTTTGTCTGCAAATTTTTTTGACAATAATACACAGCCTATAATATAGTTAAAGCCTTTATTTAGTTTCCCTAATTTTAAAAAAATAGTGCAAATAGTGGTTAAAATCGATGAAGTCATATGGCATAGTTAAATTTGTTGTTGAAGTGTTTTAGTTTTATGCCCTTTTTAGTGGAGATAATAAGCATTGTTTAATTATGGACGCGATTTTTAAATATAATTTACTTAAAGTAATACTAACGCACAGTCATACTTATTATCAGCATTTAATTATAAATTTGATAAGGAATCCAGATTTTAAAATGTAAATATAATAAATTTAAATAGAAAACTCATATTTTTGAATAATTTAATAATAATTTGTTTCGACATCAATAATTCCTTTTTTATTAAAATATTTAAAATTTGTTGTTTATGTTGTTCTTTACCTTATAAACCCTCCCTATTTGTGTTTATAATTTATTTTCATTGTATTCAATTGTTTTATATTTCGTAAATGCACTTATTGATTTTCCCTCATTTTGCCCCTTTCTTCTCTGGTTGACCGTCGAGATATTCAAATTACGAGAGTCCTCGCGACACTCGTTTTGCTGCTCGTATGTGGAATTATTTATCACCAGAGGTCATACCCGCATAATTTGTCTGCCATTCATCTGTGCGCTAGTTACGTGTCGGCGTTTTGTTAGTCCCATTGTGTGTTTGTTTGCTTGTTTGTTGTAGTGTAATTTGATGACAGACTGCGTCGAAGAAACAAACTAATTAATTTAACTCGCGCCGAGTCCGCCTATGGCGGGTACCGCACATTGCCATGCGATACGCGCCCGTATATGCCGGCAAAAGAAAATAAATCACTCTCGGCAAAGCGAGCCAGATTTCGGAGCTGATTGCGCAACGCAAGAGCCCATGCAACCCACCCCTGCAACTGACAGCTCAAATAAATCGATCAATTAGCAACTTAATTTGTAATGATTGAATTAATTAAATTGCTTGAGCTGTACATTGCCATCTATTACCATGCAAATTTAAATTTGTTTTATTGTTAATATTGAAAAAAAGAAAACAAAATCAACATGATTCTTATTATCCCCCCAAATTTTTTTAATTAAATAGTAATGGATAATAATTATAATAGAATACAAAAAATTTTCAGCTGTAAAATTTTAATTTTGATTTTTTTTTCAGCTGAAATATCTTAATTTTTTTTTGCAGCAATAAAGATGAATTTTTAAAATAAGTACAAAACATAAAATGAAAATTATATTCTAACTATTTTTTATTCATGTTATTTAATGTTATTATTTAATCAAAATTTTCGCATTATCATCATCAGTCCATCATGTTTATTTTCCTCTAAAAATTTATTCAACAATGATTAATATTTCATTAATGATTTTAATTTCAGAACCACATATTAGGGCGTCATTTTGTTTTTAAATTCTCTCAAATATATTACCGGCACCATCAAAGTTTATTTAATTTTGTAGCTTGTGCTCATTCCGCAAATTAAAACGCGATAAAGGCCTCTTGGCTGGACGCGCCTCTCGTTTTCCATTAATTCCCACGGGCTTGAAAAATAATCGCCGGCGCATAACTTTGTTTTCGCTCAAAGCGAGGGTCGTTTGTTGGCGCTGCGGCCGCCGCAGGTATAATACGAAAAGTGAGGAAGTTCATCGAAATTTCACTTTGGCCCTTTTCGTGCATTAATTATTTCAAAACAGGGGTGAAATTGCTCAAATTGAGAGAGCTTTTAGCATGGGTGTGTGGAAGCCAAGGAGGAGTTTTACTCTTTTTTTTTGGGGTGATAATTTTTCAATATGAAAAAGAGTTGCTCTCATTAAGTGGAATTAACCAAAATGGCTAAGCAGTGAAAATTTTCTTTTGTTAAATAAACAAACCCGAGCTTTTCTTGGTTGAAATAAAGTATTTTCAACAACTCTGCCAAAACAAGGAAAAGACTCGATTCATCATTTATTCATCATCAGAGTGCCACTTTCATCTAAAAAGTTTGTAAGTAAATAAATAAATGTTTTCACTCTACACTTTATTTTAAATTTAGAAATTTCCGGAAATTATTTCAAATACTGATGTCCCTGAACTCAACTCGAGCATTATCCAACCATTTCTCGCATTGCGAATATGGGTTTTCACACACCAGCAACCTTGAATTGAATTAGAGGATCCATCATCCATAATGCATCGACTTTTCTATCCATTCGGAGTTCCCAGGCGGAAAACGGAAAAAGCGCGTTTATCGGTCTGGTGCTGCACCAGGCGCCGATTATACGCTCTTGGCCGCAAATTGCCTGCTGGTAATCATCCCTCCAAAGCAAAACGCTACCAACTTTGAAAATTGTTATTTTTGCACAGTTCATTAGCCCAAAGTAGAAAATACCATAGCAATTTTTTTGTATCACAAATGAAAAAATTATTGAATTATATTTTATAATTGGAAATTCAATTTTTTTTTATGCAATTTAATCTTACTTTTGATCTTTGCATTGTTCAAAGTAGCCTTTTAATCGCCATTAACCTCCCCATGACTGTGGGAGTAAAAGCTGTCGTGTGGTCTTTAAAAGAGATGTCGAGCTTTTTGCGTTCGTTTCACGTTGCGGGAAAATCAAATCAAATTTGCTCTGCGCTCTCGGAGAGCAGAGCGCGGGTAATTGCATTGCGATTAACAGAGTTGTAATCTCTTGTCTTTTCTTTCTCGTTAATCGCCGTGACGAAGAGAGAAAATCAAATCTTGACATCTAGTTTAAATCGAGTTAATAGTTTTACAAACGCTATGCGAGTAGATACTTAAATTTTTCAAGTTTATAGCACGATAATCAATCATTAGAAATGAAACTACAAGAAACTCGATCATAATAATTTAAAAAAAATAGACACAGTATTAACATTTAAATTAAATAATTTGGATTGTAAAATATTTTCAGAAAAACGTTTGATTTTTACCTATTTTATAAATAATAGCAAATTGGATCTAAAAATTAATGGGAAAAGACTAACCTGGTCGAGAAACTGGTTTCGTTTCGTTGATCTCGGAATACCGGATTTTCTGGAAGGAGAGCGCGGACGACGATCAACGTGCCTTCAACACACTCGACAAACAGCGACTGACTGGGAGTCCGAGCAAGGGAGCGAATCGTCGCGCCGCCGTTGCTGCTGCTGCCGCCCTTCGCCTCGCGGCTGCTCCTAGCCAGCGCATCCATGCCATAAAAATATTGCTAGTAATTTAGCTCTGTTGGTCTGATATTAATGTTGACATTAATGAACAAGATCAGTCGCAGGAAAGGAATAAAATAAAATAATTATCTGTATTTTGACGAACTGTTCGTTTAAATGTCTCCTTGATTTATTTTTATATGATATCTTAGAAATGCTGTATTTGTAACATATAAATATGTTTTCTTTCATTTATCTTGTATTTACAGGATTTTTTACGTGTTATAAAAACTTTTCATGATGCTTCTCAAATTACAACCAAAAGTCGACTGAAGTTGCAAATAGTTGAATATTTTAGTCTATTATCCACTAAAATGTAGTTTCGTTTTTCTTCTTATCACTGTTTGCATAAGATTCTAACAGAGCATGAAATTTTCCCAGAAACCAAAAATTGAGTAAACATGCACCAAAATAAAGGAAATGGTAAAATCGTAAAAATAAAATAGATTAATTCTACCGAGTAGTCTCTTTTGTATGATTTTGAAGCTCGCTGTGCCAAATATTTATCGGCACTAATTGGAGAGTTAAAAAGACCAGCATTTTCTTTAAAAAAATTCTGTTAAAAATTAATCCCAGAATTTATTAAATTTATTTGTATTTATTACACTGAGAGAAATATAAAGATTTTTTTTAATTACACATTATATCTTTGATATGAATCTTTTATTAGAATCTAGACGCATAAGAATCGCAAGGAGCCTCAAGGACCAATAATATGAAAAATGATTTTCTGTTGTGTGCGACAATAGCATAGAAAGTCTTTCGAGACATGATCGCGTCCCTCCTTTTCAATAAATAGCAATTGTGAAAAAGCGCGACAAAGGGAAAAGCGCGTCTTGGTCGCCGCACTGGCTGACGGCCAAAGCAATAAACGACGCTGTTCGCCAATTCCTGCAGCTCTCGGGTGTCAATTTGCATTTTTATTGGGAACGACGTCTCTCATCACCATCCATCAGCAACTTTACTCTAACGACCTCGCGCCTTCTCTGCCGTCAGCAAAGAAAATTAACTCGCATTCATTTATGAATAACTCAATTGGCGCAGAGCAAATTGCTGCCTGAAGTCGCAGAGAGAAAGAGTGGGACAGAGGGCTCGTTTTTATTTCCCAAATTAATTGGTTTGATTGACGAATCTCATCTGGTGAGAATCGGCTGGATTTGATTTCAAGAGCAAAATTGATTTTATGGTTTTTACAAATAATTTCTAGGTAATTTCCCGTTGATTGGTTTAGTAATTACAATTTCAGGAACTGAATTCATAAACAAAATATTTGATGTGAATTTTTTTAAATGAATTCTGTCAATACAATTTGCCGAATAATTAATCAAAGCGAAAGGAATTCCGAAAAATTAGATTGGTTGGTCGATTTGAAAGGGTTTCTCCAGCAATAATTTTTGTTCTTGAATTTAAAAGAACATATCATTGAATTGACTGAAATTGTAATTGCTTATTAGAATTTTTTTAGAAGCGAAACATTTTCTATCACAATCTTGTGATGTCAATATAATTTTTTTCATTTTCCAAGTTCCAGAATAAAAATTATTAATGGGGAGGCCTTTGAAAATGTATTGTAATTGGGAAACGATTAGGTAAAAACTTTTCTCCAAATAGTGAATATATAGATATCATCAATTTGACGGATTTGTGTATAAATTTTATTTTAATAACGAGCAAGCTTGATTTAAATGGTAAATCATTTAATTGGGTAGATCTGAATCACCCCGCAAGAAACTAAATCTACGTTAACACTAATGTTCCGAGTTCCGACTGTACTTTTTTGAGGATTAGGCAATAAATATTGAAATTTGATTAGAATTGAGTGCATATTTTGAGCTATTTTTGCCCAAGCCTTGCAACGAATCTGGCCGTTGAGAGCCATTAGCTGTTGCTCATTAGCCGCACAAACACCCACTGCGTGGTAATTAAAATGTGATTTATGCAGGACGCGGTCGGCGAGTGTGTGTGTTTGAGTTTGCAGCAAAAAAGCGGCATGCGCGCGTCCTCCATCAGCTTCAAACTAAACAAACCCCGCACGATCGATGCAGCATAGTTAGGTTTCAACAGCGACAAGAAGAAAAGTAATTGAAACTTCCAAAATTAATTATAATTTTTTTATACAAATTTTAGAATGGAAAAACATTTACCAACTTGATTTCAATTTCGTTCCAGCATTAAAAAAATGCTACGAACAAGAGCAAAACTTTTTCTTATCTCGGAATCACAATATTGCTTTTAAATATTAAAATACAGTTAAATATTATGATTTTTCTCTGGAATTGTAAAGCAGTCGCTTGCGTTTGTGTGAAAAGAAGATGCCTGTGATTCAATTCTGTGCAATACTGCGGTGTAAAACTAGAAGCAATTGTCAGAATTTGCATTGAGTAGGGAACATTCTAGGGAACATCAAAAATCTTTTAACCGATTGTTTCTATGCATACTTCAGTAGAGTAAAGGAACAAAAAGCTCAAACAAAATAAAGGGATGGAGGGTCAAAAGTCTGATTTTCAATAATTTATTTCAAATTATTAAGCGAGTACTTCAAGTAGCACTTAAAAAATCTGAAAATGTTATATTATTTGAAGCTAATAAATTTAAATAGTATTTAATTACTTTTTATTAGAACAAATACATTTCTATAGCAGGCGAAATACATAATTATTGAATCAAATTTCAATATTAACAATTTAATGAGCTATATCGATCATGTTTTCATAATTTAAAAAAAACGTGCAACTTACTTTGGCTAAATATTTTACCCCCTCGGACGATCTTTTCATCATTTCCAATAAGTATTTTTGCAAGTTGCAGAAATTTATTGAGTTATATCTGGTATTTGAAACAAAATTACCATCATTCAGATGATCTCCCGTTTTCATTTTGCCACATTTGACTACATTTATGACCTACATATCAGTTACAGAAAATTGACGGCGTTCCCTTGCTAGTTCCTTTTGCGCTTGTGAATAAAGAAGAATATTGAAAATTTTTGCATCTTTTATGAGTGAGCGACACACTTTCAACAACCAGAGAAATTCAATAAGTTTTCATACTTTCCACAGAAATGAAAAATGAAAGAAATAATTTGAGCGTAGGAAACAGGAGCAAGCTATTTCAAATTTATATTACGGAACGTTAAGTTACTATGCAACTCGGCAGACATAGAAGTCAAGCGTGCTGCATCGCCGCGTTTGCAGGCGTTTGGCTTGACAGTTTGAAGATGGATGGCCTGCAGCAAAAGCCCAATTCATCAACCTCTACACGGATGGCTGAACGGCGTCAGACACTTTCCTTTAATGCGATCAAATCTGATCGTTATATTGAATAAAAATATGTATTTTTATTTATAATTTTTTCAATGATTAATCGGAATTTTTTATTTTTTACATTCCATTAAAAATTATAATTAAAAGACTTCAGATACATAATGGTAAAAAGGGAGTGCCCTTTGCCCATGCATAAAAGTGATTAAATTAATTAATTGGCTTATTCCAAAGAGAATTGCTAGTGAATGGAATATCACGAGGGGTAACCAAATGGGAGCAGCTGATAACAGTGGCAACCACTCTGTTCTATAAATTGGGTTCAGACTGTTCGCTCAACGCTCAAGTGATCAAATCCATTCTCCTGTTTCAATATTTGCGTTGATCAAATTTATAACCGTTTTAAACATTAAAAATTAAATAATAATAATAATGATGAATTTTAAATTATTTTTTGATATCGAATTCTCGATGTACCAAAATATATACATGTCAGAAGAGTTTGTAAGAAAAAAAAATATGACAATGAGGTGTCAAGCTCAAAAAGGGCATGGAGTATGGACCATTAAGATAATTTATCTAGGAGCCCAATCTAATTCTAATAATAATTTAAATAAATGATATTGAGAAGCCCCTCAATGATAATTATTCAGGAAGAAATTACACAATAAAAATTTAAAGGATCCAAGGATTTTTTTAGTTATTGTTTCATTGTTTTGTGTTTTTTCACTTTTTCATTACTATCTTTTACGACACGTGTTGCTTTCCGAAGCGTGCTTGCGAAATATTTTATTTTCGCCTCTCTCCACTTACACTAAGATCAAAGGGCAGCCAAGAAGCCAGACCGAAAAATTCCGCCAAAAATTGTTGTTTAGCTCCGCCTCTCTAGCGATTGACAATGATCGAGACATTGAGAGTTTCTGGTCTCCGGTCTTCTCTTTCTTGTTAAGACTTGCTCGAACTCGTTCTTGAGAACGCCTGCGCTGGCATTTATTCGACTGAAAGACCAGAAAGACAAAAAAAGCGAAGCAAATAAGCAAAACATAAAATTGGCGACCGACCAAAAACTAAAACACAAAGGCGCATAAAAGCTTTGAATCTTTGTCGAGTTGGTGATAATTGTTGGTGCCGACGTTGTTACAGACGAGAGACGACGGTCAAACTCATAATTATTTCATCAACAACATTGCTGCAAATCGAAGTCTGTATGCATAATTTGTATTGCGTAATGAGTTGCACGCCAAAAACATAAAAATATTTTCCTTTATCATACTTACACATAATTATTCATTTCTACTGGACGAAATTATAAATACGCCTTTACTGCCTAATTTTTATAACATTATTTTGATTATTTTTGCAGCTCTTCACTTGAACGTAAATTGAGTATTTTCCGTGTTTTGCAATGTCATGATAATACAGTTAATATTGTAAGTTTTTTTTTTTAATTTTTGAGATTCATTTATAATTTTTTTATCCTTTTTTTCCACAAAAACTGCAGTTGTATTAATTTATGCGCTTCTGCAAATTAATCTCCATTTTGAGGCAACGATTTACTATAATAGAAATGTGAAATCCTCATTACAAAATTTTCATTTGCAGTTCATTTAACTTCTCGTCCGTAGAGTGGATCGAAGACATGGACTCGCAAAATGATACATCGAGCCTTGCGTCGTCGACCAATCGTCTCCTTCAGCAGGAGGGATTCAAGTTGGAAATCGCTGGCAAAATTGAAGAAATGACCATGACCCTATTGAACACCTTGGACAGAGAGTGCCAGCAAAAATTGGTTTTCCATGAGAGTGAGTTTGCATCATAAAGGCGTGAAAAGTTACATTTTAATTACAAAATTTCCTTAGCTATGCTGGATGAATTGGAAGCCAAAACCAACCAGATCATGATACATGTCTGCAAGCAGCAAAAGGGAAAACTAGCTGGCTTTTTGAACCAGCTGAAAGCTCAGTTGGAAGACATGAATGAAGATATGAAGGCCTTTGAACAGCAGGTACGTTCATTCATTATAATTCAATTTTTTTCTTATCAGCTTTTATTTTATTGCAGCAAAGTCAATTTGAGGATTTGGTGAAAGGCTGCAATTTTCTTTCACATTCTGCCATTCCCTTAAGTGAAACTGTCCCAGAACTAAAAAAGGCCATCAAAACAGCCCACGAGGTGAGCACTTTTGTTGTCATCTAAGTTTCGTCGCCTCTATATATTTTCCAAATGATTTTTAAAGGAGCTGAAAGCCGTGGAGGACCCACTTGCCTGTCAGGTATCCCAAGTGCTGCATGAAATGCAGGAAGAAGTGGATACAAAGATTGCAGAAACCAATGCTGCCAATATTCGTTTATTGGTGTTGAGCATTTAAAATGTCTTCTCCGTCAAAATAGAGATTTGTATGCCTGCAGTTTACTTTCTACTTATGAGACCCGTGAAAAGGGAGTTCATTTCTTTTGACCACTCACTCTGTTCATAATAAGATTTAGCGGAATAAAATGTTTCATTCGTTCAGGCCACATATATTTTAGAAATTTTAATTCTATTGACAGTGGATAAACAATATTAGCTATTTTCTCTATCAAAAATATTATTTTTCAGTACGCGATTATTGATGGCCTAAAACAGGCTTGTTAGAAAGCACATTTTTTTTATTATTTTTCAATGAGTTAATCCATAATGGTGGGGAAAGTTCTAATCTTCTTTCTTTTGACTTATAAAATTTTACCAGGCAATAAAAAAACCAACTAAGCAGAAAATTAAAAAGAAAAAAAACTCATCATAACATGTTATGCTTCAAGTTACTTCCAAAGTTGATTTCAGTGCTCCGCACAACAGATAAGAAGTTATTATATGAGCAACCTTGCGAGTAAAGTTTGTTCTAAATTTTAGGTCAAATCATTGTACAATACATTGCTGATCAACGCATCTAAATCCAAACAAAAAATTTGGAAAAGTTTAAATTTCAACTATTCAATTATGTTTCTCGTATTGCTACTCCGCAAAAGTACCCAATTTTAGGTTTCAAACATTAATTAGTAACACTGATAATCAAAAACTTTGTTGTTTAAATCATTTCTCCATTAAATGGAAAATTAAATTAGAAAGTTACTTGCTAGAATAAGAATTCCATTCATCAAAGCTTGAGTATTCTTGTGGCCTCAGAAAAGCTTTGAGGATCAACTGAAAGTCTTCCTCTAGTGGACGAAGCTGGAGCAAGCGACCCACTGCTCTCATGAAGGTGGCTGAGGTGTTTCATGTCCTCTGGTACTCCATTTCGGAAAACTTTCTTGGTCTCCGAGTTCCATTGTGCTGCTATGTTGGTCTATAAAGTTCAAGTATAATAATGAAAGCTCAAAAAATTTGTGATAAAAAATTTATGGCTCACGCTCAGAGTGGCAAAGCAGTCTCTCTCCATGGCAATGGCTTTTTCTGGAATGTCACTTTCCACAGGGTAGTACATGACAGCGTTCATGAAAATAAGCCGCAGGTCTCTCTGGAACTCCTCCAACGAAGAAATACATCCCAAATCAACTTTCCTCTTCAGAGTGTGTAGGTCCATAGTCCTGATTTTAATTGTCTTTTATAATTTATTTTTAAATTTAATAATATATGTACCTTTTGACTGTGCCAAGGTATAACTGGTTATTTGCTTTAGGATTTGGTGGCCTGAGGAAAAGAGAAGAGTGTTTGTGTAGCTTGAACTGTTCAACCATGTTTGCCAAAATCTTCCTCTGTGTCTTGGTCAATTCGCTCTTCACGTCAGGAGTGGCTGGGAGCACAGCTTCCTCCAACGAAAAATCAGTTGGAGGTGTTGGTTGAAGTAGGTCAGATTCCGAGGAAGGATTTTGAGAGAGAAGCTTATAAAGTAAATTTGACTTTCCCTCAAGGACGACCACATCCAATGAGCTATCTGTAGTGCTGTCATGGTGTCCACTTGCCTCCGAAGTCTCGTCCTGTGTAAAAATTTAATTTATTGAAATAGATTTAAATTCAATATTGTCATTTTGCTATTTAATGAATAAATAAAAAGTACCTTTACAAGTGAAACTGACAGCTTTTCACTGCTCAGTCCCATGAAAGGATCCTCGAGGACCTCATCCGAGTTATCTTCTGTGTTGTCATTGTGTCCAATTTCCTGCGAAGTCTCGTCCTATGTAAAGATTTAATTAAATGGAAATAATGGTATCAAAATGTCATTTTCTATTTAATAAAAATAAATAAAAAGCAGCCTTTACGAGTGAAACTGACAGCTTTTCACTGCCCAGTCCAATGGAAGGATCTAGCTGAATTTCAACAGAATCTACGACAATCTCTTCGATGGCATAATCAGCAATGTCACTAGAGAAGATGAAGCCCTGATCCTCAGATTTTGAGAGTTCTGCTGAAATTTTCAATAGACCGTCAGAGTAGCTGGAGTCCGAGCAAGGAACTGTTGAGGCTTGAGAAAGAGGAACTGTGGCATCTCCACTTTTCTCAACAAGAGAAGAATTTTCCACTGGAGTTTTTTCATTATGTTCCACTGGTTTTGCTAGATCAAATTATAAATTGAAAATAATTTTGTTTTATTAAAATAACAAATCAAGAACTCACCATCTTCTGGAGACTCCTTCATGACTTTGATAATTTCGTCAGTCTTGACTGATTTGATGGGATTTCGTTGCCTCAAGATGTTAGGAATCTTTCGAGCGACAGGAGAAGTTGACTTTGCACGCGGACGAGTTTTTTGCTGGGCATCTGTGAAAGTTGGAGATACTGGCAGAAGAATTGACTGTCCCTTAACAAGAATGCTTGGCGCAGACTTAATCTGTACCAGTTCTGAGGAGTGCTAAAATTTAAAAAGAAAATTAATTTTTATAAATGTAGGTTCTCATAAAAGTTAAACCTTAGAAGCTTTGTCTGGTGTGGTGAGAACTGGAGCTACAGAGCGCTTTTTCGAAAAAGCAAAAATGTCAGTAAGTATAACGACTGGATTCATGGAATTGATGCGAGTAGCAACTTCTACGGCTTTTGGTTCCTCTTCTAAGGCCACTGATCTGGCATTATTAATCTAATCAACAAAATAAAATTAAATGTGTACCTGTATTTTCCACTACTTCCTTTTCCTTCACAAGTATGGAATCTTCACCAAATTTCTTGCACGTTCCTCGTTTCCTAAAAGAAATCCAATTACTATCACAAACATACAAAAAAATAGATCATTATACTCAAGAACCACTTTCAATTCATCGCCCTCTTCAGTCTCAACCTCTTTGGCCAAGCTTTTTTCATCAACTTCTTCCTCTTTCAAAGCCCTGTATGATTTTCGCACAGCCTCCATTTCAGTTAAGATCTCTTCCATTCTCTCTTAAAAAGAAAATTATCATTTTAAAATACAAACAAGAGCAAAAACAATACTCTCTCGCAGCTGATCCACCATGTATTGAAGCAACGGAGTGTCTCGGTTTCTTTCTTTGGCTTTGCTTTCTCCCAACTCTTTCAGCAACAATTTCAGATGTTCAGCGCAATTTCTCTCACTGAACTTGTCCTTTGCCCTTTGCGTGTTTGAGGATGAGCGGTCGTTGTCAAAGAAGCTTTGCAAACAGGACGAAATCAGCGTCCTGCAAAATGCACAAAATGTCAATCCTGGTAAAAAAATAAAAGGTTCCTATTTGGTACATACAGGTTCGGGGACAATAAAGGAATATTGTACTTCTGCATGCAGGAAACCAGCACCAATTTTTCCTTCGTCGACCAGCTGGGTGGTCCGTGTTGATTTTGAGGCATTGCGAATCTGTAAATTTATATTTGTAAAAAAAAAAAATAATTTTTCTTTAAAAAAATTATTAAATCTCCTAACTTCACAGAGATAATGATTATGTACATTTATATATAATAAAAAGTTATAAAAAATGGTATTTGATCCAAGGAATAACATTGTACATATTAACAGACATTTTTTTTCTAAGAAAGTCAATAATATTCGCATGAAATATTCAACTTTGATTATGCATATGTATTACAATTTATTCAGAGAGTTTCATCAGCAAATAAACATGCCCTACAAAATGCACGTCAATTTTCAAAATATATTTTTTATCGTCATTTTTTTATCTATAGCATATTGGATGAAAGCTGAATTATTTGTATCTGCAGAAGAACAAACATGAAAATTATTTTTAAGCCAGATAGAAATTTTTTCAATCGCATAATTAATAAATTCACATCCGGAAAACATACCTAGCTAGACAATTTGCCACCGCAGAATAATACTACAGTACACAAATATGTGTACGTGCTTTTCACTCTTTAAATCAAAAGAGACACTTTAAAAAGGAACACACACGGACGCAGGATTGAAGGGCGATGGTCAAAAATCATTAAAAAACGTTTTAAAATACAACAAAAAGAGCAATGACGCCTACGACACGACACGAGGCACATGAACAAAAGCCGGAGACTATTATGATTTTTACAAGAAGAAAACGTGTCATGACTTGCGTCGATCCGTTTCGTCTCTCGTCTCACTTTCCTCACTTGGCATTGGCACTAAAGAATCCAGCGAAACTGCAAAAAACGTGGCATTTTGGGAGGCCAGCCTGCCGGATTATGTTATGTGATGTTATATATATGTATTATGTGCCGTTCCCATTCCCACTCTTTCCCTCCTGCCACCGTGGGATATGCCTGATTGTGAGATGCCATGCCCAATCAAGAGACAGACGCAGACCGCTCCATTCGATCCAAATTCCAATTACATGCATTCCATACTCTTTACACTACGAACAAGAACAGACCAAGATTGTTTCTGGTGAATCACCACCTAGAGATTTTTGATTCTGTTCTGTCTTGTCTTGCTGCGACTGCGGACGTGCGGACGCGGACTGCGACTACTGCGAGAGCATCTATTCTTTCCTTCTACCAATTTAATTACTTATTGTTAATTATTATATAACGTTGATAAAACTTTGATCAGAGGTTGCTCTCTTTCTCAAAGTTGATCCAGAAAAAGAGGAAATCCGCAGGTAAATTATAAATTGTCATGCTCTTTTGTACTGTGAATGCTTATACCGGCTTACATTTTATATCGCAATCGCATTGTAGTTGAAATTAGCATTTTTATGATAATTTATGACTCACTTTCTTTGGCTCTCATGTCAAACACATGACAATTAAAGTATATATACGGAAAATACATTCATACTAAAAATTTGAATTTCTGTGCATACAATTTCGCTAATACATACGTATTTGAAATAGAAAAATCATATAACAATGTGCCATAGCAGTGGTTTACATAATAATATCTAAAAATTTATGTGAACATATTATGTATTTATCATATAATTATATTAAATTTTAATATTTCCACTTGACAAAAACACATTTTCATCCTTTATATTTTTGGATTTCAGAAATGTCACGAAGGGAGATTATGATGTTACTGAATGGTGGTATTCAGGAAGAAAATCTACCCGAATATGAGTGCGGCTATGCTCCTGTTACCAACCACCGGCATGCTAAATGTCGTGAATGTGGAAAAGAAATTAATGGGGGTGAAGTCCGTATTGCCAAGCTGGACTATTCAAGGCATTACACCTTGAAACTGTGGCACCACATCAACTGTTTTGCAGAGAACCGAGAAGAGCTCGGATTTTTGGAGTCTGCCATTGAAATCCCAGGATTTTGGAGCCTTGAAAGAGAAGGTAGAGAAGAGTTGATGTCTGCTCTTCCACCTATGGAGTATGTATATTTTATAAATCTAACAGTCGGAGAATGATTTTAATTTCGTTGCCTACATCTTTTAGTTCTGACGAAAGTGAAGGCTCTGAAAATGAGGATGAAGAAGATGAACAATCTGAAGAGGAAGAAGAAGTGATCAATCTAGCTTCTGATGATGATGATAGTGAGGAGGAAAAGGAGGAACCTCCAAGCAAGAAAGTGAAAACTTCTGTCAAGCCAGGTGAAGGAAAGAAAAAGGTGGGAAAATAAATGCTGCACCTTTTTGGTGAAGAGCTCATAATTGTCTTTTAAAAGATAATCATACATGCATTTGACCTTTCACAACTTGCTCTATTTTAATCTGCTTTTTTAGTAACTTGAGATTTTCAAATTTGATGTCAATTTTGTTTGAGCTATTCAATAATATTTTTTGTATTCAGATAATTCTTTTTACCTCCGAATAAATTACTCTGTCTTGATTTAATTTCATGTATTGCTCTTTACCATGGTTTTGAATAAATAAATAAATATTTTTAATCTGGTATTTACTTGACCATCACACTTTAAATCGCTATAAATGTCATGTTGAGGATCAATTATGACTACTTTGAATTTGGACGAAATCTTAATTTGAAATAAACCTTGTGACAGGTAAATTGTTTAGCAACTTTTTTAAATATTAATCAATGACTAAAATCTCATGCTAATTACAATTTCATTTTTAATGTGGAATGAAACTCCGATTATTGTCAGAGTTTTTTATTTAAAACATCTGAAAATGTTAAACATTCTTTGATTATTCATAAACAATGGGAAACTTAAGTTCACATTTTAATTTACACATGTAATTTGTTGATTGTACACAAGTTTTTAGAGAAGAGACGGACGATCAAGATGAAACTAAAATTTCATCAAAACTAGCACAAGAGGAAGAATCATTGAAAAAGTTTTTGCTGTTAACCGGTGGGGGCTGCTTGTGTCCCCGACTGCTGCTCGTTGACCTTCTGGTGGGAGGCCGAGGGTGGTCTGTGGCCGCCTGCTTTGTCGGCGGCCGCCGCATGCTCCTCTTCCTCGGGCCACATGATTGCGCGGTACTTCTTGGCAATCGTCTCCCAGTCGGCTACGCTTTCGATGCGCTGCTGGTTGTTGAAGCTCAACTGCGAGCCAAGAGGGCTGATTGGGGCCACACTCAAAGCAGTAGAGTCTGGAAAAAATTATAATTTTAGAAAAATTCTTTATAATCAGCAATAGACAATTTTAATTCAGTGTGGTTCTCAGTGGGCTAATTACTCATTGCTCGGTACTGTCAGAAACTAACTTTACATTGTTTGAACTATTTTTACTTGAAAATTAACTGTGTTTTTTGTAAATATATAAAACTCCGTCTAAAAATAAAGTGGTGTAGCATAAAATACTACCAGTAGCTCTTTGGCCTGGGTTGTATGTTAAAAGTGGCAATTTTTTTCAAACAGAAAATGCGTTTTTCTTTTCGACGACACTACATAATAGGTTGAATAAGAAGAGGGTGTTTGATTTCTACTTTACTCTGCGGTGAGAGCTGTGAGGATGGTGAGGTCGCTGCGTTTTTGTGTTTGGCTGGTGCGCAAAAGTGAGTTACCTTTCCTACCTGCTCTCGGTTGAACCTGAACTTTCTTGACCTTAGACAGCCACTTAGCGGCCACTTTGGAGCGCGCCGACATACGGTTGCGCTGCATGCTGACCATCTCGACCAAACTCGGTCTTTTTCTCCTTTTGACTAAAATTAAAAATGAAATCATTTATCAATATTTTAACTATAATTTTTGGTTCAATTACGTTTCGTCTTGCAGAAGCGCAGGATATAAATGAACCATGTGGTGACCAAGTTGAGGGGCGAAGGTGCAGTGTTGGTGCGATGCATGTGGCGAATGAGTTTGGCAAGACCGTACTTCCACTCGATGTCAGATTGCGCCTAAATAAGAAATTATTATTATTTTAATTTAAATTACAATTAATTGCAATGGTATTTGAGTAAATCAGTGAAGAGATCAAGGTTCAAGCTCTTATCTTATTAATTTCAAAATTTAGTAGCATTTCAGATTTATTTTAAATTGAAAATTGAATTACCATGTGTAAGTATTATTTTGAAAAAAACTACAGGATTTTTTTAAATATTTTTTATCAATACCTTATCAATCAAAGTTAATAGAATAAAGGTATTTTAGAATACAATTTAATTGCAAGAAACGTTAGTTATTTAAAAAAAAAAAATCAAATAACATACTTGGATGCGTTGGTAAGTGTCTGACATCATAGCAATGAGCAGGTTGATCAGCACCACAACTGACACGAGCAGGTACGTTCCGAAGACGAGTTTGAAGAGGATGCTCGTCCACTCTGGCTGCTCGAACTTTTTGTCCATTGCTTTGATCTGAAGGTTGTCCCAGTTGGTCAGGCCAAACACAGCGAAGAAAAGCTTTTCGAAGGCACTTATTGGATTCAGCTTAACTGAAATTAAAAATTTTATATTTTTATTAAATTTTTCAGCAAAGTAAAAAAATAAATATTTGTTCTTTTTAATAAAATATAAATAAAAAATAATTTTTATATGTAATTTAAAAAGTACCCTCTGAGAATGGTCCCGTGTAAGCGATGGGTCGCTGGTTCTTCTTGATCTCCTCGGGCGTTTGATTGCGAAAAGGTTGATTCAGCGCAACTACGCAACCGCAGAAGCCGAACACGAAAATGCAGAGGACGGCAAGGAAGCGCGCCAGGTCCTTCATCAGGTTGCCGATGATGATGGCCCAGGGGCCGAACAGGTAGTGGAAGCTAAGGAAGTCGAGGATCTGCACGGCGGCGAGCAGGAAGGCGATCGCAAACAGTTGGTTGCGCAGGTACATCAGGGTGGGCCAGTAGGGGCGCGCGATCAACAGCCCCATCAAGTGGAACGCCACCCCGAAAACCCCAAACACCAACACTGTGACCTGAAGGATAAAATCATGGTTTAAAATTCTGGGATATTTTTAAGAATAAAATATACTTTAATCCAGCCAAGACCGCTCTTATCGCTGGGGTTGGTCAACTCGAAGAGTAGCAACCCTGACAACCACACAAGCAGCGTCCACTCATACCAGTAGGGCAAAAGGGTTGCTCTGACCACAGGGTATAAAGGGGTGATGGCGACCAGCGTTAGCAGGAACATCATGTATATGTGCGACGTCAGGTACGACATGAACTTAATTATGGGAATCTGTAAGAAATTGAATCATAAGTATTTTAAAATTTAAAAAAAAATGCAATTATATATTTTTCACGGAAAACTTCCCAAGGACAGATTACAACAAAAAGTAAAATTATAATTTATAATTGAAAAAATTTAACATTTTTCTTGCTTTCTAATAATTAAAAGAAATGAATTGACTCACCTTATTAAACCTGTGGCCTAGGGGCAGGGAAAAGACCATCCAGACGGGTGGGCAGAAGATGAAGGCTGCAAAGAGGAGCATAGTTCGCCAAGAGGCCCATTGCAGAGAGCCGTGCCACAGCTCCTGCAGGTACCTCTGGACAACTGTGTGTGCAATCACCTCTTTCTGCTCGTTCTCGATGAGCACCTCTAGAAACTCTACGTTGCGTCTGTCGGTGGCGTTGAGAATTTTGCCAGCCGAGTCGGCGCCGGCAGCGAGCGCCAGCAGCTCTGTGGCCATCGCCTCACACTGCTTGCCTGCTGCGATTAAATCTTTGGCACGTTCTTTTTCCTGGAAAAAAAACACCACCATTGAACTCTCCATATAAAAATCATGATTGAGAAAATTAAATTTACCAAAATGATTTAAAACAGAGCGGCGGAAAAGTAATTTTCTGGGAAAAATATTTATATGAATACTTATTTGGACTTTTATTATTATATCTATTATTTAAATTATAAGAAAGATATGAAAACATAGAATATTTTTTGTTTTTAGTAGCCTTTGCAATGGCAATGCTAATTAAAAAATATCAAACCTTTTGGGAAAGGTTGATGAGAATGGCTGAGAGCTTTGCTGCCGCGTCCACTGGGGCCGGCGACACCAACACAAACTCCTCGATGGGCCGGTTGTTGTGGTTTTTACTGCACACCATCAGATTGTACACAAACTGTTGATAATAAAATATATAATTTAGCAATATTTCCAAAAGATACAAGGTTTCAAATTCAAACCCTCTTGTCCTCCATTAGCGCGTAGGTGTCATGCTCTCGGTGCATGAGGTAGTAGAGGACGTCGTAGTGACCCTCGGAGGCGGCGAACCAGATTGGGGCACTGCCATAGTTGGTCTCGGCCTTTGGAGAGGCGCCGCTGTCAGTCAAAAGGACCACAACGTCGTAGCAACCGGCTCGTGATGCGTAGTGGAGAGGAGTCCAGCCATTCTTATAATTTACAAAAATTAATTTAGGAATATAAATGATTTAAGAGTAATTTGAAAAAAAAAATTAGATTTTTGTTTAATTATTTCAGCAAAATTCATTGAAAACTTGAATTTGTTTTTTGATGAAAGATCAGCAAGCCTTTTGTGCATAATAAAGGCAATTCCTGCTCTAAAATGGTTGGGTACAAAACAATATAAAAAAAGAAAACTTAACTTATATTTTTTTTTCAAATTTAGTATAATTAAAATTATTAACTTCTTTAAAAGCAACCAATTAAATTTGTGTTTATTCTTTTTAAATATTTTACAACTTTAAATAAATAATTATAATTACCCTGTCAGTAGCATTGATTTCGGAGCCCTGACCAAGCAACACCTCAACCATGCCGTAGTGGCCGTGCATGGCGGCTATGTGAAGACCAGTCTTGCCATGTTTGTCTGTACTAGGAAGCAAATCGGCCGCTCTGCTGAGTAACAGACCGACCACCGCAATGTGTCCACCGAAACAGGCCAGATGAAGTGGGTTGTAGCCCTGGGTCAATTTAATTGCATTTTCAAAATCTAATTTACAATAAAAAAAAAGAAACTAACGTTTTCGGTGGTGGCCGTCTCGACCTGTACACCGGCCGAGTTGAGGAGCAGCCGGACGACGCCTTCATTGCCTGAGTAGGCGGCAAGGTGGAGCGGCGTCATTCCTGACTCCGAGCCGAGCTCCTCGACCAGACCCTCACCACTAGGCGCCTCAGATTTGACAGTTCCAGGCACGTGAGCCAATAACTCGCGCAGCGTATCTTAAACAAAAAATTAAAATTATTTTTCCATTTTTACAAACACAAAAATTACATTTAATTAAATTTTGCCTAATAACTATAAAAAAATATTCTTCAGTATTCAAAATTTTTGTCATAAGTTTCAAAGTAATTAAGATTTTGAAAAACGTTTTAATTTTGTTCATGGAAAATTTAAGTACCTGCTTGTCCGAAGTAAGCAGCAACGTGGAGAGCGGTGACGCCGAGTTTCTTGCTGTTGACCCTGAGGTTGGAGGTGGCGAACACATCGAGGGCGGCCGTGTGGCCATTCTGGGCGGCCAAGTGGACGGCCGTCAAACCAGCTTTGTTCTCCTCAATGGGAGAAGCGCCGGCTTTGACCAAAACTTTGACAACCTCAGCATGACCACCCTCGGCAGCCAGTTGGAGAGCGGTGGCCTCTGTGACTCTGTTTCTTGCAGAAATCACACCCTGACGATCGAACTTCATCAGCTCCTCGATCACACGGACCGAGCCTCTCATTGCAGCGATGTGCGCGCAGGTGTTTCCGTCCTGCAAGTTAAATTAAATTTTAATTCAAATTCAGACAATTTCACGTACGTAAATTATAAAAAATATAATGATTAAGTATGTAATTATATATAGAATCATGTATTTTTTGCGCACGATACTCGCACAAGTATCTTTTTCATTGAAAGTAGATATAATTATTTGCTAAATATGAGCTAAAAGATTCAAATTGCCATTTTTTATGAAAAAATTAGAACTACATTATTTTTTAATTGTGTCAAATCACCTAACTGGTGGAAAAAAAATCACATTTTTCAACAAAAAATAGCCTCTATTTTTTAATAAATCTTCAATATTTACTAACCTTGGTGTTGGCACCAACAAGTTGAGGGTGTTTCTGAAGGAAAAGTGCAACGACGGCCGAGTAATTGTTCTGCGCGGCGACGTGGATGGGCTTTTGGCCAAGTTCGTCGGTGGCGTCGATGCTGGCGCCGAGTTCCAAGAGCAGTCGACAAACCTCGAGTTGGCCGTCCGAGGCCGCTAAATGAAGAGGCGTTTGCTTTTTCTGCAATAGAGAATTCGCCCTTTAGCTCTGAGGGTGAAATTTAAAAATAGTGATCAATTTTACCAAAGTCAGGACGTCAATGACGGCGCCGTGGTCCTTGATGAGCGACTTGACCAACTGGGTGTAGCCATTCTGCGCAGCCATGTGAAGGGCAGTGTAGCCGATTCGCGACTTGCTGTTGATGAACGCCTTGTGCTGCAAAAGGGCATCACACACATTGATATAGCCGTGCTCAGCGGCCAAGTGCAGCGCCGAGCGACCCTCCAGATCGAAAACGTCCACCCTCGCGTGATTGGCAAGCAAGGTATGAACCTGGAAAAATTGTATTTAATAGTTGAATAACAAAATTTGTAAACTTAAAAGTGCTTAAAAGTAGGAAAAAAGTTAAAGAGACTGACGAAAAGATTAATCAAACTTACAAGATTTTAATTTGATTAAAAATAATTAAAAAAATATATAATTAAGTTTTTTAAATAAATAAAATGACTAAAAATTTAAAATTAAAAAGGATTGTATAAAATAATTTAAAACAAACAATAAAATTGCTTGACTTACAAAAACGACAAATTTAATAAAAATATTTATATAATTTAAATAAAGTAAATAAACTTAAAATATGTATTTAAATCATTATTAATATAATTTTTTTGATTTATCTTATAACACAATATACGCAGCGTTCTAGCTAATTTTGCAATGATTTGTGTTTTAAATATTTACCAGTTCCATATGTCCGTGGTAACAGGCGATGAGCAGTGGCGTCCAGCCCTTGTCAGTCTGTCGGTTGAGCGCCTTCTGCACTTCAGTCTGCGAGAGATGCGAAATCATCTCGCAAAGGACGTCGTTGTTGCCGGCGTGCGCGCAGTAGTGAAACGCCGTTTCTTGCGTCTGAAGAAAAGCAAAGTCAGCCCCGAAAGATCCAAATTTAAAATTATAGGCCAATTGGTCACTTTTACTCTACTGGTGCGCTCTCAATGCTTTACCAGAAGCTTATTAAGATGACAATTTTTAATTCGTCAATCTAGACAATCTAGCTTTAAATAAAATGACTCTCATAAAGCTAACTAATGTTTGGAATGGATAAATAGTAAATTAGATGCAAAATTAATAAGTAAATCTTAAAATAATTTATAATTACTCCATAGATTGGGACTTAATTTGAAATAAGAGAGAAGAAAAGGTGATTTAGAACACTTTACTTCAAATGTTGTTACAATACTTGTCACCTTTTTTTATAATTTAATTGCAAGAACTTAGAAATCAGATTTGAATTTGACTTTAAAGAATTTTCTGCGTATCAATAGCTAGTTTATGGATAATTTGAGGATTAAATGGCATTTATATTGTTTTCAAAAATTTCCAAAAAAAAATTTAAATTAAATTTGTTGACAAGCTCTACTTGCTAATATTTCACTGCTCTTTATACTTATCTACTTGAAAAATAAAAAATTTTATCACTGTTTTGCTTTCAATCGCTTATTTATCAAATGGCAGGCACAAAGTTCCGAAGCAAAATGCAAAATTTTTACCACCAGCTGTTCAAAATGAAACAAAAAAATCTTTCATAAAAGCATTAGTGCCTTACACAAAAATACAAACATGAGTACATGCACTGAAGTTAGTGTGAAAAAGTGTTATATTTTTTCAATATAGGAAACGTGTGTGTGTTGAAATAGTTCGACTGTAGAAGAGAGTATTTAGTGAATTGTTTGTGGAATGAGAGCAGTTTTTTGGGTCTTACGTCGTGGTTCTTCTGTTGGCCGGGTCGCACACAAAATGAGTCAAAACAAATACACATTTTACAATTAGATATAAATAATCCAAAAGTAGTATCGTTTCTGTTTTTTTTTTTTTTTCACATAAAAAGGAAACAAAGTGGAAAAATTTGTCTTTTTGTAACGGGAAGAGAAAGAAAGTCACACACAAGATACTACTTCTATACACAGGAATCCTACCTTTTTGAAAAAAAAAAATCTTTAAAAAAAATAATGTACACAGATATTTAACAGAATTGTACAAATAGACACATAAAAAACGAAAATTCATTTTGAAAAAAAAACTGACCGTTTTGGTGGTCTGCGTGGTGTCGGCGCCACTCTCAAGGAGTAACCTGATGACCTCTCGGTCCTCCATGGGTTTCTCGACCTCCTTCTTGGTCACCTGCGCCGCGTAGTGGATGGCGCCGGCGCCTTCGTCGCTCACGGCGTTCACATATTGCATGGCCACCGACTTGCCCTTGGTGGCCGTGACAAAGGTGATCAGGTGTCGCACCACGTCCGCGCGGGACCCACGACACGCCAGGTGCAACGGCGTCTCGCCAATCTGTATTAAAAAGTGATTTTATATATAATTGGCACCCTTTCATTATCAACTTAAATAAAAATAAAGACTATTTCTTCAATTTTCACTAACTATTAAATGACAGACTGTTTCGATTTTTATAGAAAAAAGTTAATTTATATGAACTGCAAACAAAATAATTTCATGAAATTTTGAAACTTTTACTACAAAAATCAAGGAAAGTTGTGAAAATTGACAATTTACACAAAGATAAACTAAATTTCTTTAATGATGTACAAAAACAAACCAATCTTTACTCGAAAATTGAAAAGGAAATTAAAAAAAAATACTGACTTTGGAAGTCCTCAAAGGGTCGCCGTTGTCCTCGAGCAGCAGCAGCAAAGTGGCCAGGTTGCCAGATTTCGCCGCGACGTGCACCGGTGTCTGGCCGTCGTCGGTGGGCACATTGGCGCCGGCCCCTGATTTCAAAAGCATCAGGGCGCACCGGTCACCGTCCTTTACTCTAGCCGCGATGTGCAGCGGCGTCTCGAGCAGGGTGCCACCTTTGACGTGCACCTCGGCACCAAAACCGAGCAACGTCTCCACCGACGCTGGTTTGCCCGACTCGACGGCAATGTGAAGCGGCGTGTAGTTGTCCTAGTCATAATAATTGATAATTGAAAAATACATATTATTAGCCACCATTGATCGTTTATAATTTGTTAGACCAAGACTCGGTCTATTTAATGTTAATATTAAAATTTTAAATCAGAATTAATCGAAGAAAATTTTAGTAAGAAGTTCAATTAAACAAATAATGCTTTAAATTTAATAAATTAAGTAGAGTTCATCCTTGATTAAAGTGGATTTTACATTTTGTAACATTTTCATTTCCTGTTAGACTACCAGGTATATTTAGTTTTAAATATATAAAATAATATGTGTATCTATTTAAAAGAGTTATTCAATTTTATAAAGTAATTAAACTATGATAAAAAAAGTTAAAAATATTAATAATGTTAAAAAATTAAATAATTATATAAAAGAATAATATAAAATTATGAATAATTTTTTTATATATAGTTGTAGTTATTGTAAAAGAGATGTAAAAATAAAACAAACTGCTTTTTTTTAAACATTCAAAGGTACTCACATTTGTCCTGACGTCAACCTTCTCGCCCTTGTTGAGCAGGGTGCTGATGATGCCGACGTGGCCGTAGCGCGCGGCCGTGTGGATGCTGCGCGCGCCCTTCTTGTTTGGCATCTGCAGGTAGACGCCCTTTTTGAAGAGCATCGTGGCGCACTCGGCGTGCCCGTTCAGGGACGCGATGTGCATCAGGGTGCTGCCGTCCTTGGTGCGCTCCCAGATGGACGCTTTGAACTTGTCCACCAGAACCTCGATGATACTGGCGTGGCCCCGCTCAGCGGCCAAGTGCATCGGCGTCCGGTCTACAAAAAGTTTAGAATAAAATAAGCAAAGCGAAAAAAAACGGAGGTGTAGGACGGCGAGGAGAAGAACTGACAGAATTAAAAATTGTTGATACTATAAAGTTAATTTAATTGTAAGTTGTACACTCGATTGAGTTTGCATAAAGAAATTATAAATATTAATGATACTATTGCTGTGTAAAAATATATCATATTGATATTTCGTTCGTTTTTCATGGTGATTAAAAAATTGAAACAGTAGAGAGTTTGTAAGAAAATTTATACACTCTTTTGCAATTGGAATTGACATATACGATATATACAAAAGTGGAACATAATTGTGCCTGCAGTTATTAATAGAGCTTCTAAATATCAGCAATCCTAATCCTACATGATATAAACAAATTAATGCAGTGTAAATTTGAATTTGATGAGTATTTATTTTATTAAATGAAATACCGCTAGTTGTACGTTGGAATAATTATTTGGCAACTGCATTTATAACATTAATATAAAATAATCTTTCTTACTTAGGAAATGACCAGTTAATCATTTAATATATTTATTTTGTATAAATTTTTCTTCGCCTCAATTGAATGATATCATTTCTCTAAACAATAACAAAATGTGAAGTAACTGAAACATATTTTTACCTTGTTTGTCTATAATGGAAGCACTCGCCCGGACGGCGAAGAAGAACTTGACCATGGCGTCGTCGCCAACGTCAGCTGATATGTGCAAGGCCGTTTGCCCCTCAGACTGCCAAATTGTACAAATTAAAAAGCATTATATTAAAAAAAAAAATTATTGAAATAAAACATACATTTTGGGCATCGACTTCGGAGCCGTACTCGACCAGAATCCTGGCAACCTCAACGTCCTTTTTTCTGGCGGCCAGGTGGAGTGCCGAGTCGCCGCGGTCGTTGATCACCGTGAGCTGCTCGAGCGCCAGGTGGGTCAGCAGTTCGCGACACATGGACTGATTGCCAGCTTCGATGGCCAGGAAGAGCGGAATTTTGCCATTCTAGCCATAAATTTTTTATAATTATTTGTTGACCCGCTTTGGTAAAAATTTAATAAATTTCTAAGACATAATATTAGTATACAAAATGAATAAATTGCACATTTATTTGCAATTTTTTCCCTCTAAATATGCAGGAGCAAATAGGAAATATCGTGAAGAGCCCCACTTTGTCTTGGCAAAAGTTCATTTTAATGATTTTTATATATTTCGCTTGGTGGGGAGGGAAACGCAATAAATCGGTTCATGCGAGGCGGAGAGCGATGAAGAGCAGGTATTTGGACGTGCCCGTCTTATTTATGGCCACGCACGACTGCCGTTAGTTTGCTTGGGTGGAACATTTACTTTTCTGTCGGCGCCGCCACCACGCTTATAGATACAGAAATATAAAGCAAACAGAAATTTTGTCCAAAAATAGGAAGATGAACAAATTTAAAATAAAACCTTCAAATGTTTATTTTGGTCAAACATTAAAAATTCAGTGTAATGTTTACAAAATAAATATTAGTTTCATAGCAAAAAATGCATAATAAATTATTAAAATGATTAAATTATTTTATAATTTTTAATCTTTTTAATTAATGATCAATGATAATTTATAAATTAATTTTTGTTTACAATCAACATTAAATTAAGAAATGAAACTTAAACAATTATAATATTTAATAATAAATATATATAAATTTTAAAATGACAAATTATTTTTTGCTTTTTTATCTTTTTCTATATTTTCGAATATCAAAAATTTCTAAGGAAAAATCATGGTAAGTCCAAAATTTGGCAAAATTTTTATTAATTATTTCTTTATATATTATTTTATAAGTTATTTTTATAAAGTTCAGCTCAACCAATGAGTTCAGGACAAATCAATAGTTTTGCTACAAAAATAAAAGCGCGCTCGGTGCCGCTGTTCGTAGTATTTACTACATGGGAATTTTCGAGCGTAAAACGCAAAGTTTGAGGTTTCGGCCGGGGGCGTGCATCCGCGGAGGGGTGCCGCGCGGAGGCTTCGGGGGCCTCCTGTACCAGCTGGTGCCGCACAACAAACACGCTGCATGTCCACTAATATTGACTGCGAGCACGCGAGACACACAGGCAGCAGCCCTAAAGCGCGCAGCCCTTCTCATCTCCCACCCGCTCGCTGCATTTCCCAAAACTACCCTCGTGTGTCAGCCAAAAACAATCAAACCGGAAAAAACCACTTTTCCTCCCTATGCGCTCGCTTGTTCAAACAAATTGGAAGAAAAAACTGCGGTTCCAACGGAAATCAGACGAAAAAGAGCTCTTCAGGATGGTTCATCTAATTTGTAAACTAGATAATATATCTTCTCGAATGAGAATAAAAATGTTTAAAATTAAAATCTTTTGCTCCTTCTATCATTTTTTAAATTACCTTTCTGCAATTGAGTTATAGAAAAACTTTTCACAAAACTAACAGAATTTTAATATTTGGAGACGTTTCTTTTATTCAATAAATAAAACACTTTAGTCATCAAGTTCAAAATCTTCCACGACTTTAAAATGTCTTTGGGAGAAACATTTCTGTCGGAAGGCAAAAATTTTTATCGCCAATTCTTCGCTAATCACGAAATTTTGTCAACCTTCCAATTCAACAATGAAAATAGTGTTTAAATAAATTCCAAAAGTTATTAAACTTAATTTAATCTTCTTGTAAATGTATGATAGATTAATTATTAGCGTCTGTGGAAAAGTAGGATTTTTTTTAAAAAAAAAAATATATTCGAGTAAGATTAAACTTTCAAAATTAGATGGAAACAATCTTATTCTGGTCTGATTTTATAATATTAAATTAAATCAAATTTCCACCTCTAATGGTGAAAAATTGGATGAAAAAGAAAATTAACTGACCATGTCCTGCTTGAGTCTGATCTCCTTAGGTGCAACGTTGAGGATCACTTTGGCAATGTTTGTGGCCGTGCTGGTCATCCTGCCAGCCACCATGTGAACACACGTTTGTTGGAGTTTCTGGAAATTTTCAAAAGTTAAAACGGTGTTTCTTAAATGTCGGCTGCGGTCATACTCCTCCAGTTGCAGTCAGGTCAATGGCCTTCTTGGAACACAGCAGTTTGACCACGTCCTCGCGCGAGTATGTGGCCGCGATGTGGATGACCGTCAGGTTGTCCTGAAAGGAAGCCGAGAATCGTCAAAATCGACATTTCCTAATTCAATTTCTCCAGAAAAAACACACACATTCGCAAAAGCTGAAAAACACACTTTGAGGAAAATGGGGCTTGGTTCATTTTTTAAATATTTGTCTGTGTTTATCGGGACGTTTGTTTAAACATGGTTTAAAATTTTTAGCTTGAGGTGCGAAAGTTCTTTGCTACACACAAAATGCAATCAAAGTTTTTGAATTACATTATTATTTACTACAGCCGTGCAGAGTTCTAATTTAGTCGCGTGCCGAATTAAATAACTAATAATAGGCGAGTGCACTTCTGATCAAATTAGCAGGTGATTGATTGATTGATCGACGGCCAGCAAACGATAATTTGCCGTGATTTATTTGCGCGCCCAAAATTGGTAATAAAGGCGCAGGAAATTTGTCAGAGGTAAATTCAAGTGCAAACCACGCCCTTCAAGGGATGAATGAAAAATGAGATGCAAAACAAAAATTAATAGCAGGATGATTCGTTAATCAGGGCGGGTTTGTTTTGACAGAAACGAATAAACTGATCGCTTGGCCGTCAATCAAATTACTTCCCCCACGGGGGTGCTGTCTATTAAAATGCCGGATATTCTAACTAAACAAAACTCTTTGTTGATTTTATATCAAGCCAATATAGAGTAAAAACTAGACATTTATGTTTTCAAAATTTCCAGCTAAAAAAAAAATTCATTTCAGCCAAGACAAATTAGTTTGAAAGATATAAGTACAAAATTATACTTAGAAAATCAAACATTTTTCTTTAAGACTTAGAAACTTTACTAAATTGAAAAAATTACCATATTAAAAAACTATTTTCCAAAAGGTTTTATACCCTTTAACTAATTGCAACACCACCTGAAGACTAATTTCAGAAAAAAAACGGTAATTTATTTTGATCACTGCGAAAAGTTAATGATTGGTGCTTGCAAAATCAACAGTTCAACAATTGCAGACACACACAAAGTTATATAAATTTTGTCCCGCCGAAGGGTAGGGGGTGCAGGTGAGGGGCGAGTAAGGGACTGACCAAAAGGTTTGGTTCGTCGTCGCCACGTTTCCTCCTGGCCGAGGCGCCGGGGCTGGTGGCCTTCTTTTCGCCGCCCGCAGCACCCGTCTTCGGCACAAGCAACAGCTTCATGGCTTGGTTGTTGTTGTAGTACTCGTTGATGGCCGTCGGCTCGTCCAGACCCTTCTTCAGGGCGAACAGCTTCTGCCAGCGCATCATGCCCTTTGTGCGCGGCTTCTGCTCCGAGAAAAACACACACACGACACACGCTCATGCTTGCTTTATTCCACTCACCTTTTTGTTAAATTTATCGTTTTGATTTTATTTTAGTGTTTCAGGTTAGCTCGAGAGCTTTTAATTTTCAGGGTAAGGGGAGGGGCAACAGGTCGGAGGTTGCTACTCACGTGGTTTCGCGCGGACAGGTCGACGCCCATGTCGATCAGTTTGTCAACAAGCGAGGTCCGGTTGTCCTTGACCGCGTACATCAGCGGCGTCATCCCATTGATCTAGAATAAAGCATACCCTGAAAGTCACCTGCACTCAGGGTGGGACATGGCAAAAACCAGTATCCCTAAAATACTCCATATTCTGATGAATTTGAAAATTTCTGTTAGGATAAAAAGTATTTTTGAGCTGAAACGTCATTATTGCATATTCAGGGTCGACTTATATTTACCCTGAACCCTGAAAGATGATAAGATTTAAGATGTAATTTGATTGAAATTATATCATGTGGGGTGTCTTTTTAATCTTCATAATGAAGAGAATTCATATTTGTAAGCTTGGTAATGTAAATTTAACCCTCTTTGAAAAATATACCTATGCTCACGTTTGTGACCTCTTTTCTCTGATTGCTGCGTCGTCCATCACCTTTTTTTCTAGAGACGCAAATTAAAAGCTACAAAAGGCTCTTATGAGAAATGAACGTCGGGTCTTTATTATTTAAATTCACCTCTGTCCGTCGGGGGTGGTTTATTTTTTGCATGCATGGCCGAAGCCAATCAATCTCCGCGGGACGCGCTGCGAGATTAATTATATCATTCTCGCGTCGAGCGAAACATTAGCCCACTTTCACTTCTGCGATTAAACTTTTTGTAAATTTTCAGACGCTACGGCTCGTTTGGGTGAGATTTCCCGATTTGAACGGCGAAATTAGAGAGGAAGCGGCGTCGGCGGTGCGGCCACTTGTGGGTTCGCCAGGTCACGGAAACGCTTTCTCTCTTTTCCTTTCTTTAACCTACATATTCGGGGGCCTATCTTGTTTCGCCGCCGACAGAAATAATACGGAAAAAAATGGACCCGCCACGCGCGCGATTAGGCTTTCTCTTGATAATTATGCTCTCGTTCTATTGCGCGTTCCTTGTCCACGCGATTAAGAAGTCGCCGCGTGCGTTCCTTCTATTAACATACGCTCCAAAAACTCATTCCTGAGAATCTGAAAATTTTGTTTCGATCGCCCCGAAAAGGAAATTTTTATGTAATTATTTAATTAAGTAAAGAATAGTTTACTTAAGCTTTTAATAAATTAATAATTTACTGGCTGACTAAATTAAAATTTAATATTGGTTTTATAATAAAATAAACTAAAAACTTTTCTTTGTACTATCATTTTTTTAACTGCTATTTCAATAAAAATAAAAATCTGGACCTTTCTTTAAACAGCAAAAACTTAATGCGATATATATAATCCTTGACTGGTTCTCTCAGCACAATTCAGCATTGATTTCTATTGTGTTGTTTTACTTTGTGTCCCTTAGAGTGCATTTGGAAGTACTACGTACTTTTGTGGCTACTCGTTTGCATGTATTCTGCGACGGAAATATGGAAATTTTCTTGTTTGCTCGCCCTTCATGCCAATTCTATTGCACACAACAATGCCGCCTCCTCTATCAACTTTCACATTTCCATGCAATCGACAACGAGATCTTAACGATTTCTTTTATAATATAAAATAAAAGCAATATTATTAAAAACTAAACTTTGATAAAAACCTTCATTTTGATTTAGGTTGATTTAGTTGAACAATCGAGCTAATTAATTTATAATTATTAATATTAATTTGTCTTTATAAAGAATTTCACACCGTAAATTTGCAAAATATGAGCTACAAGTAAATAAATTATGTTAAAAATTTAGAAAGAAAATCACAAACGAAGAAATTTTTATTGAATATCTTCTTATCTTTGTATAGCTTTGTTATTTCTTAAAATGAAGAAAAACCCTACGAACAACTTGAAAATTTTACATTTAAATTGATCAACCTTGATAAATCTAATATTATTTAGCGCAATTGAATGTAAATATTTTATTTTTATTAATCGGAAAGCAATTTCGCGGCTTACAAGCCACAAATTCTTGTGAGGGTCGGTATCGTCCTGTAGCGGAGAAGCAATAACTCCTTCGGAAACACCGCGCGATGCAGGCAATTTCCGAAAATAGCATCCCTATGTTTCGAGTCGTGTGTGTTGGTTGTTTGTTTCTGCCACTTCACGGTCAGTGGGGCGATCAGCGAATGCTCGTTCGCTCGCCGCTTTTTATCTGCGCGACCTGGAAATGCTTGTGTCTTGACCCTGCCTGCGTCCTTATCAGATCGGCGCGCGCGAGAGCGTGTGTGGAAAGTTCCAAACAGGGCCACGCCAGTACATTTTACGGGGAGTGGGTAAATGAAACGCCGGCTAACTACCGAAAATCGACCACGTCGCAAAGATGACGTTCGCGCTTAATTGGCCGCGGCAGGGCGAAAAAAAATGCAATACAAAACCGCAAATTACTCTTTTATCTCCTACTTAAATCTAACCTCTTTCCTTGATTTGCACGTTTTGTGAAACTTCCACGAATCAATTTTATTTTCTCCCTTTGTGTAAATAAAGCAATTCCGCATGTCATCTCATTGGGCAAAAACTTGCAACCCCTCTTGACTTTTTTTCTGCGTCCCTTTGAAGCCGAAATGATTGCACCCTGTTGCCCAATGGGCCACCCCCGGCCAGCAACTCTATAATTGCCGCAGAGCCAAATGAAAGGGCGCGTTTTTCTCTCGCTTTGTCTCGGCCCAGATCAGATCGCGAGATCTTAACACGCAATCTGAATGAAGAATGTACAGGTCTACCCACGTAAGTACAAGAAAAACGTCATGTGACCCTCCTTCGCATAAGTCGCAGGTGCATTTTCACCAATTATCGTTTCTAATGACCGAATTTTTATCGCAAAGACCCATTTTATTTTTGGGTGAGAAAGTGGAGAATCAGATCAAATTTAACAGCGAATTTGAAACCAAGTAAGATAAATTCTAAATTGTAAGTTTAAAAGAGCATTATAAAAAATACGCAGCATTCAATCTTAATAGAAATAATGAAAAGCAAACATTTTTCTGGGGAGGTTTAGGAATTATTTTGCGAATATACATATCAAAATCACGACTGGAGCATACTTACTAATTCAAACAAATCTCAAGACTGAAATTTCTTTCTTCAAAAAAAAAGAAATATTTATTTTCATGTAAATTTTTCGTTGCCAATGTATCTTTATAAGAGTTTAGTTTGATTTATTTGGAGAGTAGTGAGGAGAGGAGAAAACAATTTTTTAAAGAAAATGATAATGATTACATCTGATTACATATAACAATGCATAATTGCAAAAACCTTTGAAATTTAAGAATAAATAATATGTTTAAATAGCAATTATAAAATAATTATTTATATTTTCAATAAATTACAAAACGTTTCAATCTTTAATAATACCATTGATGCATAATTAACCTTAATGTGCTTAATATTATCATATTTTTAATTTATTTTTATGTTTTTATCTCCATATATCTTTAGTCAGCAATTAAATAATTAAATATCTTAATTTTAAAAATTTATCCATAACATTTAAAGAGCCTATTTTTGTTCATGTTTTAGAATATTGCTTGACTAGATTTTTATTTCATATATATTTTATTTGCATATATTGTCAAGTTCCCACCACCAATCAATCATGTAAGAGAAATGTGTTTAAAAAAACATTTTGTACTCTGCAAAAATTGGATTTATTTTAATGTTAAATTATGATCTGCAGAAGAATGAAATAGTATGCAATTGAAATAGGAATATTTCTAAATTACCAAGATTACTGTAAATTTACAAACTTGCAAATTTTGCAAAAACTCTAATTTAATTGCGTGCGTATTTGGCATTTATTTACTTCTTGTGCGCGGTACTTTGTGTGCGAGGTTTGCGTCTTTCTCTCTTTTTTTCTCGCGCGTGATTTGCATGTCTGGGGTGCAACATCGGCGGGCAGGGTGCGTGACTGGCGGCCGGCAGCCCCATCCAGCAGTTCCAATGGTATATAGTGAGTGGATCTGCTCCGGCGTCCATATGATTAGCCTACATCTCCCAGCACAAGCAAGCAAGCGAGCGAACCAACGAACGAACCGGCCTTTTTGGAGCACTCGCTTTTTATTTTTAACACACGGAAATTTTCTCGCTCGACTCTTAGCTTCCGCGCAATTTCCAAGGAGACTCGATCAAACGTTTTGTAAACAGGGTTTCGCTTCTACCAAAATAAATAAAGTTGCCCTGAAATTATGTTGCGATCTTTGATACACATATTATTGTTTTTCTTATGTCAAATTTTTTTTTATTTTGCAATTAATTAACTATATATTTTCTAAATTACTATAATTATTAATTTATCAATATTTTAACTCTGATACTTAAAACCAATTTATATCTGTACAAGAGTTAAAATTTTTGTTTTAGTGACAACTTATAATCTTACGTCACTCAAGTAACATTAATTTACTTTAAAAATTTAAATTTTTTTTATAGTTAAATTTAAGAGAAAAACTTATTGAAAAGTGTTATAAGAAACAGTGCTAATTAGTTTTAATTGTTTAAAATCGTTTGATTATTGACATTGATCAAAGACGTTCTCTGAAAAAAAGATGTAATTGTGACCCTGTAAAGTACAAGCTCATGGGGATATATTTAAACCCTTAATTGATCTGAGGTATCCCTTAATAGACCGTGTACAAATTAGCTATTCATTAAGTTAAAAAACTGGATGCTTGAAGCAACTCCAATTAAATCCTCACTTCTTAATTATTCCTTATTATAGTTGCAACTATTTGCTATAGTCAAGTGAAATAAAAAAATTATGTAATTTATTTAAAGTGAACACTAAATTGGAATTGGAAATTTTTAATTGTAATTAAACATACATACAAAGTTAAGCGTCGTGTGTGGACGTGTTCCAATTAACTTTTGAGGTTAAGAGTGCAGCTCGCACACATAATTATTATTACGGAGCGCCGCGTGCAGCGAGAAGCGGTTAATTTATTTTGTATTAAAATATCTGACGGCGTCATCAGCATACGTAATTATTTTTGTTGCCTCAAGTGCTGCGCCGCCGAGTGATAATTTATGCAAATAATATCCTTTCACCGCAGATTTTCTCGACAATTAAGCGAGCGAGAGGAACAAATGGAGAAAGAGAGAGAATATAGAAAGAAACGGGTCAAATTGAAAATAATGAGACGTTTTGCACTCACGAGAGCGCCTGCCATTCAGCATGTAGGCAACCCGAGCGACAAACAAGCAGTGCCGGTTGTATACTTTGTATTATAAAAATCAACTTTTTTTGTCTTTTTTATGAAAGGTAGTCGCAAACAGTGGTACTATTTATTTACTGTTTGATACATTTTCGAAACCATAAACCATATTTTATATTAAAATTATTGAGATTTTTCTCTTCAAAACCTTTTAGTAACAGAGTTTTTTAATAATTTTAGGTTCATACGCCTTTTTTCAAAATCAAAACGTTATTCATGTTTCCAAAATTTCAATAATTTTAATTCGAATTAAATTTTTATTCTCTCTTCCCCCCCCCCCCTGTGATTTTTAATTGTTGAATTATTTATAAAAATTTTATGATTGGAGTGGAAAAATTAAATTATAATATTTTGTTAGTCAAGACTTTTTTTAAACTCGTCTCTGCCGTAAAGTTTTTTCATTATAATTCCAATCATTTTTTTTTTTTTTTTTTTTTTTGTAAAATTAAAGGTATTAAAAGTTACAAGTTACAAAATGAGTTAAAAACTCGTATTGAACTTGATTTGCAAATTTCAATGTGCAAAAAGCGTTTAAAGTAATTTTAAATAAAAGAAAAATTACATTTTTTAAATTAATTTTTTGTATTAATCAAATTCATTGATATTATTAAATAGCCTTTTGAATTTCAAATTTCATATTCACCTCAGATTCGATTAAATCTTTTAATGCAACCTTTTGTTCATTTGATTTTCGCAGGTCACGCAGCAGCCTCTTTTATGGTCGGGGGTTTTGTTTGTGCGAAATCGGCAGCACCGGAGGGGGTGACATGAACGAGGGGGTGAATCGTCCGTCTCGACCGTATGGGGTGCGTGCGTGAGATTAGCATCTCTGTGTGGAGAAATAAGACGACGATTGAGAGAAGGAATTGTGCGGCGGAAAACGGGGCCACTGGGCACAAGGCCTTTCGTTCGCCAAATAACCGACGCTCCGTATTTAGGACAGAGTGGAAATCCCACCAAAGAAAGACGCAGTTTTTAATTCGACGAAAAAAGTTTGTGAAAAATAATTTACAGCCGTCGTGTATTCAAGACAGAGGCAACAAAAAATCACAGAATTCTCGTGCAAGAGCCGAAAAGAGGCACAAGAAGTTTGTTGCCGGCGAGCTTGAAATCGATCCTATGGGCCTGCGATCCACTTCCCACCACCCACAGAAAGAACCATATTCGATAAACAAAGCGAATTTCCACAAATGTGAGAGGTTCTTAACCTAAATGGTTATTTTTTTTTTATAAAATTTTGTATTACTTTGAAATTGAGAAGCAAACCATATAAATTACAAAATTTGTTTTCCGTTTTTTCCAGAAAATGTATTCCAATTTTTGGAGCCAATTTTTATTAGCTGTTCTTATTTTTATTCGGTTTCTTAATTTAATATTTCTATTCGAGCGGCAAATTCACTGCCATTTGCAAAATGATATAATTTTTATTTAAGATAATGTAAAATTAAAATAGTTTACATTGAAACTTTTCTGGAAGTTGTATTATTTTCACTTCCTATTCACGCTCTCAATGGAGGCGAGCGAATCAGTCCATTGAAAATGGAGCACGTGCTGCATAATTAGCCGGAGTCGAGGTCACGCCACTCTCTCGCCGAGCGGCTTTCTTTTCCATCCACTGCTTGCGGTGCCAACAAAAGTCCAAGTTAAGGAAGGACAGCGCTTGTTTACACTCTTCCCACTCCAGGTTCGATTTTGTGCAATTTTCGAGTGGTGGGAAAATTTGCCGAAGGTGACAATGTCACAGGAAATCGAAAAAAAATATGCATTTTCAAGAATTTGTTATTTATTTGAACATAAAAATTTATAATAATCATAAGGTTTTTTTAAATTTTACCTTTTCTGATGAAAAATTTAAAAGTTTCTTGGTTTCAGTTAAATCTTATGAGAACTGTTGTTAATTTACTTGACTATTATAAAATAAATAGATTTTTTTTCAATATAAATTCGTTTATTTTTATGATTTTGTATTTTTTTTTAAATGCAATCATTAAGTGTAATACGCAATAATTAATGCAATTTTTATTTTGTAAGAGATTTTTTCATAAGGTAAACTTAACCTTTCTTTACTAATTATTCAAATCAGTTTCCACCTCACTTTTTTACTCAAAAACCTTTTTTTTCAAATTATTCTTGAAAGGATCCCTCAGAATTTAATCATTTTTATATAAACTAATCATTCTAGGAAAACAATTAATCGCGATGAATAAATAACAAGCAACCTTTCAGCTCAAAAATTACAATTTTCTCCTTCCAATAATTTGGATTTTTTTTCATTTCCAAACCAATGCAATAAAAAATCTTAAAATGAAAAATAGGACTTACGGGATCTTGAACTCCGGCTAGCGGGGGCAGTCCATCTTCAGGCGGGTTGGCCTGGTAATGCTTGTCGATGTTTTTGAGCAGCTGGTCGACGGCAGGGTACTCGCCCTTTTGGCACAGGGAGAGCACCCTGAAGCCCATGTCCTTGAGGTTGGGCGTCGCGTTGGCCTGGCGGCCGGTGGCAAAGGTGGCGCCGCCGGCGTCGCCCTTGTCAGCGTCGCCGGCGCCGCCGGGGGCCTCGGCGGGGGCGGCCGAGCCGGCCGCCCCCTCAGCCGCCGGGCCCTCGTCCTTCTTGGCGGGGGCCTTCTTGGAGGCGGCGCGGCGGCCGCCCGCTTGCATCTTGTGTTAAAGTCACGCACACATCGTCGCTCGGCTGCTTTCGGCCTCAGCGGCCGTCGTCGTTCTCGCTCGCCCTCCGGCGCATAACTGGCCTGGAGACGGACGCCGTTGCTGGCGCTCCCTGGTGCCACCCCCGACCGACCACCCCTCCACCCCAGCTCTGCTGCCGCCGACGAGCAAGTAAGAAAGAATCAAAAAAGTTGTTAGTTTACCTGTGCAAGAAATTCCTCGAGTTCCCTCCTTATTACTTTTTCTCAATATACTATCAAATTATTCTTCCTGAAATTATTATGCAATCGAATTAAATCAGCAAATTTTTGGCAACATCGTAATATGCAAACTGTTTCAGTAAGTTTTGAAACATACGAGGAAGATAATTAATTTAATTTTTTTTGCTAATTTGTCGCACGAACATGAATGATCCGAATAATCCCATAATAATTCATAGATACTCTAAAAAAAGGGATGGGAAAAATAAAAAATATTAGAAATACAAATTATTAATTTACCCATTTAATAATAAATTATCATTTTTTATTGTTTGGCTGTCTTGTGGCAGCATAAATTTTAATGGGATTCATTTTAATAACAAAACTCTCTAATATTATTATTACTACTTAGTATTAAAGCAAATTTTATGTTTACTTAGTTTTTATTTTTTACAGGAAATAATAATATATAAAATATTTATTGATTTAAATATAATGAAAAAATTTAATCTATAATTTTATTGCCTTATTTTGTTTAAAAAATAAGCAGTTTGCAAGCTCGTCACCATTTAAGGATCTATTATTTTGTATTTAGAAATTCAAATTTAATAAATAAAACGGAAATTGACAAACAAGAGTGAATGGTATATTTCAAAATAATTAGTTTTTCAGTACTAATTGATGGTAATAATGAAACTCTTAATTTTTTTCTCAAATATTCGATCCTTTAATATAATAAAAAAAATCGAGCTTGATAAAAAAAGTGGCTCATTTTGTATCTTTTAATAAAATTTTAAATATCGGTTTTCTGTGTTTTAAAAAAATACTAATTTTAATTTTCGCTACGTTTGCTGCGGATAAAAGACAGGAAATGTTGTTTTACTAAACATCTTTATAAAATAACCTTATAATTCTTGAGTGGTTGTTGAAAACACATTTTTTACATTTTGCAATTATTTTGTTTATTTCACATAACACGAAATTCAAAATTTTAATACTTGAGAAAAATGTTTGGTTTATTTATAATCTAATTAATATTTTTCCGTGTTAATGCAACGTACTTTTATGTAATAATTTAAAACTAACATAGCAGCATTATCTATCTTCTGCAATAATAAAATAGTTGGCAACAAAGCATTTTAATGGCATACGAGAATTTTGAAAATTTAGCATAACAGGCCACATTTGGCTAAAATATGTAGGTTTTGCACGCGGACGGTGCTGGCCGCATGCAATTTAAAATTGCACACACGTGGCAATTAATTAGATAAGCCCTCTCAAGACCAAACATATGCAGTGGGTCGTAATTTTTGGTCGTCTGCGGCGAGGCAATCGAAATTCACTGAGAGGCATGAAACTGCTGCGGCGGGGTTGAAAGTGAAATTTTAAATGTAAAATAGCGTGCTAAAATTGGCCGACGAAAGAAGAGCTCATTTGCATGCAAATCGGTCTCCACTGCGCTCCCCGCGAAGAATAAAAAACTTTACGACAGAATATTTTTTATGACAAAGAGTTCACTTAGATTTTTAGCACTAACTATAAAATTTTCACATATATAATACGGTTTTTAAGCATTAAGCCTACGAATTATATTTAATGAATGTTCTTTTTTCAAACGTTTTTAAATATTTATCTATAAAATTACATAGCTTAAAACTTAATTTTAATTTAGTAATAGTTATGATTACAATTTTTCAATCTATTTTACATAATTATTTTATTGCTATAAAGAAAATTTTGTTTTTGTTGTTAATTAAAGATTAAAGATCATAAAGTAGAACGAGAATTATTTCCATAGCATTCATTTTTCACCTTTTTTTCTAAAATTTTCAAGTATTATAATTTTTTTTTTAAAACTACATTAATATATTGAGATGTAAAATCCTTATTCCTAGGCAGATTAGTTTTTTTAAATGAAAATGAAAATAATTTTTTTTTCATAACAATGAGATTTACTCTTTGAGAGTTGTTGAGGTGTGCATTAGTATATTTTGCTTTCCACCACGCTGGGCGCAGCGAGTCAGGGGTTGTCGGCGGAGGGGTGAGTGTTATTTTATTTTAAAGTAAGGAGTTCGGTCGGGTATGCTGCTGCAGTGACGATAATCAGAAGCGAGATTCGTGACCGGCGCGAAAGTAGACCACCGCGCTGAGAAAGGCAGCGCACTGACCCAGAAGCACGTAATGATTGACCCTCGTGACGTCACCCCCGAGAGAGCCTAGAGAACAACCCTCCGCGCTTTCTCGCCAAATCTGCGTTGCGGCTAATTAGCGGTTGTGCCGCGTTGAAAAGCTCGCGCCGTTTTAATTTTAGGCGACCGACGCGCAATAGTTGTTGCCGGCCATAAAAAATCAGCCCCGTTTCCTCTTCCTTCCGTCCTCGATTCGGAAAAAAACAACCCCCGGAAAAAACAACGACCCATTTTAGTCGAAAATTTCCAGATGCAATAATTCATTTTGGAGTTTCAAGATATTTTATTTAACATTAAACTGAATAATCATTAAAATAAAATCTAAAATTAACTTTTAAAGCTGCGTAGTTAAAATAATATCAAATAATGCTTCTTTTCTATTGTTGAATTCCTTTTAAAATATATAATGAACGATAAAAGTAAATTTTAAATGCGAATATTTTGGATCAATTTAAGTCTGATCGTGAGTTCGACGACCTTTTGAGCGCTTCTTAGAGGGATGCGGCAGTAGCCACAAGTGCCCTCAAAGACCTTGGTCGCTCTAATAGAACCGTTTGTTATTCCTTACACTTTTATTGCCGGCGTGCATTTCTCTTTCTCACTTTTTTTTTAGACTCGCATGCAATTTTCTCAATACTTCCATGTTGCAGTTTAAGATTCTGCCACAGAAAAACTTGTTTCATTGAAATATTGACAATTTAAAATTCATTTTATTTAAGTTTTGAAGACAATCTTCCTAATTCGAACCAATGAGCCCAGAAGAATTATAAAAATTTTAATCACAATTAATCTGCATCTATGCTACACAGTCTTTGCTGATTAAACTGTTTCTCTCAAATCTGAAAAGTAAGAAGGAAATTATTGTCCATCATATCAAACTATGTATTAGTTAGAAAAAATGTTTTTTTTTTTTAAAAAAAATCTGTTAACTTCTATATTACGGGAAAGAGTGGTTTTCATACAAACTTTATTCACAAATTAGTGGGAACCAAAATATTTATGCACTTGGCCATATAAAATCAAAATTATTACAATTCTAGATGTACTAGGAAAATCTTCAATGAAGTATAATATACAATTGAACAATTAACAATAATTGATTAAATAATTTTTCAGTTTTTATTAATAAATCTCATGATAAAACTTCAATAAAGAAATTACTGGGTCGTTTAATCAGATGAAAATGCTATTGCTACCTTTTACAATCGCTGCATGCTCATTGTCGGACACGATTTTTACAGCGAGCACAGCTTTTGCGAGGACATTTATGCAACTGGCAATGCACGCGTGCCTTACCGGCAGCATAAAGCTCACAATTAAATCCCCAACCGCTTTGTTTTGCGAATTTTAAAAACATGTAATTTCCATATGTTTGGTATAAAAATAATATCTATTTTTAAAGGTCTTGAAATGTTTTAAATATGCATGCAATTTAAACAAAAAATAATAAAACTACTAAAGTTACCATTTAACCGTTCCAATGAATTCGTATGTTAACAAATCCAGCGTCTTAAACTTCTTCACTTTTTAGGCCTTTTTATATAGTTGGATATTTCAAAATTTAATATTTATACAAGGTGTAGTTATGATTTTTTTTTGTGCTTTTTACATTTAATAATTAATTTTAATATTTCTAATAAAATTTGCTTGGCAATAGCGAACTATCTCTATGCAACTGGCGACACAGGCATGCATTGCAGGCAGCGTAAAGCTTGTGATGACAACGCGTTAGTCTGTGCGGTTCTGGACTTCTCTTTAGTGAGAAACCAGAGCTATGCAGTTGATATGAAAAATGTATCTACATGAAACTATAATCATTCTTTTGAATTTTTAAAGGTGAAGTCATTAAATTTGTGAAATTTTGTTGAAAAATTTTTAAATCAAAACAGTAGTTTATTTGCAAATGTAAAAAGTATATTAATTTTAACTCATGTATTTTTTAGTTTTTGTGTTTTTATCGGGCTTTTATGAAAGTACTTATTTAGATAGCAAATATTTGATATTTTTAAACTTAAACTTAAATTTGATTACAGTATTTCTCCCAAGTTTCTCATAGCAAGAAAATTTAGTTTACTTATTGATTAAACTTAGCTGAATTTGTAAAGTGAATATTGACGAAGATAATAAAAAATCGCATGTTTTCCAATTTTGTACTGTACACAGATTTATTTGCAAAAATAAAAAGTGAACAAGTCGCACACAGGGTGCGCTTCTTCGCAAGGAGCTATGACCCCATCTCGGTACACAATCCCTGGTGGTGGTCGGGGTTGTATGTTGAGAGGGGCCAAAATCTCCTTGTCAGATCACAAATGTAGGCGGCAAAAGGGTCGTCTTAGTGGCAGTAGGGGTAGTTGGGGCAAGCGGCGGGGCTAACTCCAGCGGGGTAACGGGCAGCGGCGGGCACTCCAGCGGGGGGAGCGAGGGAAGCGTAGGCGACGGCGTGGGCGGGGATGGCGTTGTTGCAGTAAGGGTAGTTGGGGCAGGCGGCGGGGTGGACTCCGGCGGGGTACTCGCGGGCGATGGGAGCTCCCCAGGCCTGGTACTGGGCGACCACGGTGTTGTCGCAGTAGGGGTAGTTGGGGCAGGTGGCGGGGTGGACTCCGGCAGGGTACTTGTCAGCCTGAGCCATGACGGCGCTGACGGCCACGAGGGCGAAGACGACCTTTGAAGGGAAGAGAGGAAATTAAAATTAGTAAAAATTGCCAATTTCAATTGGTTTATAAAATTTTGAAGTCAGATCTTAATTTTAAAATAATAATTTTGAATAACTTTTTTTAAGGTGAAAATGAATTGTGAAATGAATTGAAAAATTATTTAAAATTTGTTTCCAAGAAATTATTGCTAATTAAGATTCCATCCTTGCATTCAGTGAGGTAATCGGTTGCACGACCGATCGGCAGGTGAGTTGTTTGTAAATAAACGTGCCGTTAAAGGTTGGCACTCGACCTGAATGCAAATCAGGAAGGAGACACTGAACTGGAAAGATCAACAAATTGTAAATTTACCACTTTGGCGAACATTGTAGTGTTTGTTGGGTGAAGCGCGTTTGAAGTGCGATGCTGTCAGGGTGGCGTCGGCCGCTTTTATAGCAGGACCCTCAGGGTGGGGACTCTCGGAAGGGTCCAAGGTTGGCCCCGGCGTGCGACGCCCGCCCCTCCCTAGCTCCAGCCCGCCCTTTGCGCAAATCTCGCACAAGTATGAAAAGCGTTCGATCGGAACGTAAATTTTTTCCAACGATTTTCTCTCAGCGCTCCTTTGGACGCGAGAGTAATTGATTGTAAAACCAATCGGCGCGCATATATTTCTCATTACGGAGTTATGTACAATTGATCTATATTGAATTTTAATAGAAACAATTATTCGAGCGAGACGCGCACATTCCTTCGCAGGAAACGTGGAGATTGATTTGCATCAGCGCTAGACAAAGGTCGACCACTTCCGTTTCTCCTTTTGAATTTGTTTGAATAAATTTAATTCCGCTCTATAGTTAAATAAAATTAATAAATGAGAAATTTCGTAACTTTGCTTATGTTTCTAAACATTATGAAATACTAAAGTGTTTAATAATGAAAAATTAAAAAGTTAATTAATTAAATAAGTTAGCTAAGGAATCTTCAGTGAAAATTGTTTTGACCTAATCAGTTTTCTAAAGAGTCAATTTTTATTTTTTAATGTCATAAAGCTTTACATTACATTGTTTTTCTGTTTGATCTATTATTAATTTCTCTGGCTGGAAATGAAGTTGATGAGCTAAATATAAATTTGTATGACTGTCAACACCAAAAAACAATTTGGCAGATGACTTTTTCTTTTCGATGCAATACATAATAATACTGCAATTAATAAAAAATATTAAATTAATAATAATAAATGATCATAACTAACATAAGCATGATAAATTAAAGCATATTTTATCCTCTAAAAGTTGATCTGCATAGAAAAAAATACAAACAATGATTAATTATAATAATTTTAATAATTTTTTCGTCTATTAAGAAAGTAAAATTATTAGATATCGGTTTATTATTTATTATATTCATTTTTAATTATGTACATTTTTTTAATCGCGTTACAATCTCATTCATCAGGGAAATGCTGTCTGAAAGCCAGTTGTTACCGTAGTTGACAATCACGTAGGTTAAATCGAGCGAGTGCCGCGAATATTTCACCTCATTAACTTTACAATGTCAATCTAACGCACATGCATAGTTGGCGTGTGTGCGTGAGAAAGTCACTTGTATATGTTTTATTACAAATCGCGCGTTTAAGTGCTCCGATTTCGCCCCCGCGCTCGCGAGAGGAAAACAATGCGCACACCGTTGTTGAAGGAAAGTATGTATTTATACATTAAAAAAGAAAGAATGCTGCTTTTGCAAGCGGCAACTTCGTCACTCCATCTGCGGTTGCTTCGCCAGCCGGAAAAAAAATGAGCGAACACAAGTAGCAGCGCGATCGAGATTTATCGACTCGGACCGCGAAACGCATTAATCGTGCACATTGTATGCGCGAAAGAGAGAAAATTGAAAATGACCGTGTCGCGAGATTATCATGTCAACCTGCCTGCTTTCGCGAAAGCCTGCATCCATTTCAGCTCCTTAACATGAGACGTGCAGCATCTCTACATAAAAGCGCCGGTACGAACTCGATTTTTCTACTTCAATTTCAGGCTTCATTGAAAGTATTTTATTTTGTTTTAAAATGTAAAATAAAAACAGTTTAATAATTAAGTTTTTTGTAAATGCAAAATTTCCGTTGAAACATTTTCATGTTTTTATTCTGTTCATTAATCTTTGAATTGTTCTCCAAAGCCCAAAAATTTATTTCAAATTGATTTACCTTTTGTTGATTTTTTTTTTTTGCAATTTGCTTGATCTCTTTTTGGGTTCAAATTTAGTATATTTTTTTAATTACAACATACATTTACCAACTTTGGTGAAAATTAACTTCTATGTTGTTTCGTCCTCTCCTTTAATTATTCTGTCAGTGGATCTTTACAAATTAAGTCATCCTGATTCAAAAGTTGGGAAATTTGAGAAAAAAATGGCCATTCAAAAAAAAAAGCGGTAAGAATAGTCTTTAAACTAATATTTTGATTTTTGATACATTTCTGGAACATTTAAAGTACTTTTTACATTTCTTGTGCACATCTCTTACTGTTAAATTCCATAATAGACAAAATGAATGAGATAAAGTAGCTGCTCCTTTTTAAAATCATCTATAATATAATAAAATTTAAAAATAATGCTTAAATTTTTTCCCAGATACATTTATTTTTTGTCTAAATTTCTTCAAGCGTCCAATAAAACAACTTTCAATGGGATAAAATGCTTATTTCATGAAACGTCAAGCATTAAAAATCTGTCATTTTTAAAAGAAAGATGAAAAAAATTGATTAAGCTAATGCTTAACAATAAATTATTTGTGCACTATTAATCTAGAACTATCGACGCGTAAAATATAATTATATGAATTGATACAATTGACCGAGCAATTAAAAATAAAACTCGGTGTCCCCTTCCAATTTATGCGTTGATGTCGCATCTGAAACCTTGCGCCGCATTTACTTTGCTTTTAAAACGGCGGCAGTGACTTGAATACCCGCAAGACTAACTTCAATTAAAATTATATTTTGTTTTTCGCCTTGAGAGAGTCTTTGGTTTTTTGCGATTTTGGCACGCGGCCAATCGCGCGTTGCAAAACCAGACGCCGCGATTCGTCCACGCCTGCCCGTCATGGAAGTGGATCGATCCCGACATAGATATAGAAAAGTGATTTCTAATTATCTCCGTATGTACGCGAATACGCTTTTAATTGACAAACGTGCATACGCACGCGCACGATTAAATATGAGTGTGAATTATCGCGCACTGATTTTCTCGACTGTAAATCACCGTAGGACGAGTTGCGATTGAAATGCTTTAATTACATAACGAGAAATTTCAAATGCGTCTCTATTTATCTTACAAAATTATTATACAAACCAGAGATCAATTAAAATGTCTGTATAGCTTTTTAATGAGATGGTTACAAAATAGACATAGAATGATTACAAAATAAATATAATTTGATATATATTAAAATTTATTGGAAGATAGATTCAAATAAAAGCAAATACACAATTTAATTTATCAATGATTAGTTTTGTACATTGAATTACAAAATTATATATGTATTTTTATTAATTTTAATAAAAAATCATAAAAATATTACTTAACTGTTTACAATAATATAAAAAATTTTAATTTTTATCCGATCAATTTATTTAAATTTACAATTGTGCAAATATAAAAAATACTCATAAATTAAATTGTAAAACAATTTTTTTTTTAAATATAAGTAAATGAATGAATGCAACATTTAGACTTTAAAATAATTCTAAAATTATAGTAATAAATCTGGTTTGAAAAAGAAAAAAATCACCTCCCCTCTTTTTATGGCTAATAAATCTGGTACTATTTTAAAATTTTGAAAAATGTGAATGGAAATTATTAACAACAGCATATCTTTGATATTAAACACTTATAAATTTTCCAAATTACCGAAAAACCTGACCAAAATAGCTTATATATTTCCTTTCTTTAAAAACAAAAAAATCGGACAACCTTTTGACTCAAGATTTACCAAAACTGGAGATTTTTAAATAGTTTGCTGTCGTCGATGGAGATGGTGGTTGAAATTTTGCGGGAAACCGCTGTCTACCGTGAATAATTTAATACGTATGTTTCAGCGTGTCTCGTGTTGAACACAAATACACACATGTGTGTGTGTATGCGGTTGACAATGAAAGATCAAGAGCGGATTTCGCCGGCGGCCCATTCAGACCTTGGGCGTGCGTCTCACACTCAATAGGCCGCCTCTTTATATGTATAATCTTCAGCTGCGTGCAAGCGTAAATAATAACAAAACACATTGCCAAGAGATGTTTTATCCGCCAGCAATGTAACAATGAACGAGAGTAGAGTAAAAAAACCCGTCTGTGCAAGCAAAGGGGCAGCGCCAGCACGCCCACGGTTAATTTAATTTACGAGTGGCGGAAAATTGGGCTTTTGCAAGATGACGTTTTAATTAAAATCTGATTAATTACTTTTTTAAACGTTGGTTATAAAAAGTTTAAAACTAATAATAAGTAAAAAAAAATACACAAAATATTATGCTTTTTTACTACAAATTGATACACAAAATTTATATTTAAAAAAAAATTAAAAAATATATTTATTTAAAAAGTATAAATTATTCAAATTTTAAAAACTAAAGAATTCTTAGTTAAACTAATTATTTTGCAAACTAAAAATGTTAACAAATTATGCATTCAAAATTAATAATAATTTGAAAGAGTTGAGATGAAATAAAAACGAAAATCAATTAATTCCAGGGTGATCAAAATTAATTTAATGAGCCTTTAAACTTTTAATTCGAGGGCGGCCACCTTATTCAATAGAATCGGCTTCTCTGTGTCTTGGCCATCGAGCGGCAAAAACGAGCCTTTATTATTTTCTGTTAATGGTTTTCGAATCAGGTGCTCGGAGCAAAAAACCGCTGCCCAGAGACCAAGGTCGCCAGTCAATTTCGGATCCTCCGCTTGCTCTCAATGGCTTATTTTTCTGCATTTCAAATCCTTTCCGCGATCCAATAGTTTTGGCTGACTTAGCATTTCGCAACCTTGGGAATCGATCGCAGCAGACCGCGGAATATCGGAACAAAAAAGACCGGAAGAGAAATCATTTCGGCGCAATGTGCAAGTGCGTTTCTCAATTGATGTGATTGGGAAAAAATGACGCGCGACACCTCGTCCGGGGCTGCAATCTGCAATCACTTTTTTAAAAAGGTTCTCTCGTCATAAAATATATATGTATCGCTTCAATAAAGCGATAAAAATTCTCCAGGGCCGCGAAAGCGAAATTTATTTGACGTTAAAAGAAGTCTTGATGTCTCAATTACAACGGCATTCCATAGGAGCAAAAATGTGTTTCGAGAATCTGATAAAAAATTATTTGCTGGCGTTTAAACAGACATAAATGTTAGTCCAATTACGTTCTATCCAATTAAAGATTCATTCATTATAATTAATATAACAGTCAATTTTTTTTGCCCTATTTTTTGTACAATTTAATTTTTTACTGAAAATAAACTTGCTGTCATTTAAGTAAGTGTTATTTTTAATGAAAAAATTTCCATTCTTTTGATTGACCTTCTATAATTTTTTTTTTTTTGCAAAATAAGTTATTAATCTGCTAAAAGAGTTTTTGGTGGAAAAATATTAACATTTTGAACAATTTCAATCTTGAGAATTCAGTAATTTTTTTATTAGTGTCAGTACAACTTCAATCAAGAACAGCATCTTTTAATAAAACTCTTTTAAAATATGTTAATTTCACGTGTAATTTGTGAAACACAAAAATATTGAAAAATATCAGAAAATACTATTTAAATTTTAATAATCCTTAAAAATAGCAATTTTACTGACAGTTACAGATATTAAATTAATAAATAAAATTTCCGTTTTGGTTCATATCGAATAGTTAATAATCTGGTAATAATAAATAACTGGATTAATTTAGGATTAATGATAATAAAACTAAACTTAATGAAACTATTAACTCTAATTGTTTGTGATTTTCAATTTTTTTTCAGGCCCGCTGTCGTCGAGGGTATGGATGGGCTGTAAATAATTACACGTTGGGCGGGCTTTACGCATGCCAATTACTCGTCTAATTGGCGGCTCTCTTCAGCGTGTTTAATTTATGACAGCCAAACGGGCGTTGAAGAAGGTAAAAAAAAACAGCTGATTGATGATCGGTCACTCTTTTTTTTTTTATTTTTGATAAAACGTACTTGTCACGTCAAACAACGTTTCAATTCAAAACTATCAACGAATTTTCATATGGAGCAAAGAGTGGGCAAACGTTTGGTTGCAAAGCAGGAAGACTTGTTCCGGAGAACAGGTTTGATTTGGTCTAAGGTCACTCGCCAATTATAAACTATTATAGTATTATGTTGTATATTGATTCGCGCTGTTTCTCTGTGGCAGATCGAATAAATCATTCCATAAACCACAAGCAATGCCAAAGTTGTTATGTTACTTTTATTACATACAGCATAAGTTCCTTATCAATTGAGGCATAAGATTGATGAGAATGAACAAATTTATATAATTCTCTCGATCAAATTAATTTGGGTATATAAATGGTTGATTAAAATTTTACATAAGAAAAGGATTTGCAGTTTCATCAAAGAGAAAAATGTTTGTCAATTTTTAAATTAATATTTTAATATTTTTTTTCGCAGTTTTCACATTTAAAATATTTCAAATAATAAAATCGCTCAATGAGGTCAACTTTAATTCAATTATATGCATTATAATATTTTGTTCTATAAATTACTAACTTAAATCTTTCAGTTTTATTTAATGCAAAAATTCCAAGATTTCCAAATTTTTCACATTTTGAAGCGGTTTTTAAGACAAATTTCTAGGTTGATGATGTGCAATTTTCTTTTCTCTTTTAATATTTAAAAAAAAAAGATACTAACGGAAAAAAATAAATAATAGTGCTCTAGTAATTATTTAGTTTCAATGTATCTTTTGACAGCTACAAGGAAGCAAGATGACATTTTGCTCTTTGCTCTTTGAGGAGAAATTTTATAATCCTCTTTAGAATAAGTAATGTCAGGTGCTACACCTCTCGGGAGCAGAAGAATCAGGCGATTCGGCGGCTCCACCTTTGGCAGGCATGCCAAGGCCAGCGCATCCGACGCACTTCCCATTGCTCAAATTTCGGCCGAGCAAGCAAGCCATTACAATTAAACGCGTCAATCACGTTTCTCACAAACAAGAATTAATGACCGGCCGAGATTCTGGGTCGCCTTGGTGCCTGCAATATAAATTTATTTTCGCATCCCTAATGGATTGTTTTTCGGACCATACCATTAACTACTTGCGTCAAATTATTGTGCCGGCCAAAATATGTAAATTTCCCAACACGTCGTTAAATTTTAAATACATCTCCATTGAAATAATAATTTGCGCGGCACGATTAATAATTTTCTGATCACCAACGGAGGTTGAATCGAATTAGTTATGAACGTGAAATGGGAGGCAGATAAAATCTGTGAGATGCAAATTGGGCGATTTTTTTGCTAAAGACCCAAAACTCGTTCTCCTCTGCTTGCAATGCCAGATTTTCGCACTCAATGTCATCCTCATACTTGAGACCGACTCCGCTCACGCACATTTCAACGCGCTCTCGTCAATATTTTTCACAAACACAGACAGACCTTATTAAGGAATTAAAAATTAGACCATGGCTGATTTGATAAGGAAGTTTCAAGACTAATCTTTGCCTTGCGGGCACTAATAATAATAAAATTTGCCAAATTGGCTCCAGACATTCGGGATTATAAATATATTTAAGAAACATAATAAACTACTTCAAGCACCTCCCAACAGCATGCAATTTTTTTATATAGGAAAGACAAGAGCAAATGTACTTTAAGAAAAATATAGCTTATAGCAATGTTTTATTGTTCTCTATACATACTTCAACTGCTCAGTCCTCTTTATCTTCGTCCACAGTCACAACTCCACAGATAGTCATTAAACCTAAACAACACAAAATTGAAATATTTAGTATTATTTTTTGTCCCTTATTTAATTTTACTAAAAAATAAGAAAAATTAATAAATGACATTACAACAAACCTTTGACAATTTTGTCCATGGCTTTTGAAACTAACGATTCCTTCTCGACTTCCATAATATTATCCCCTTGGTCGCAAGCCCGACCAACTCTGGGGTCCAGAGGCAAGCTACCCAAAAATGGAACATTCATTTCTTTGGCCATCTGCTCAGCTCCGCCAGACTTCGAAGGAAACATTTCTGTAGGTTTCTATTAAAATAAGAATATAATAAAAATACATTCAAAATGATAAAATTTCCAATTACAGTGCATTTAGGGCAGACGAACTGGGACATGTTTTCAACCACGCCGAGTACTTTGATCCCGGTTTTATTACAGAAGTCAATTTCCTTTCGAACGTCCAGTAAAGCCACCTCTTGCGGAGTGGTCACAATAATGGCACCAGTCAGACCAGCACTCCGAAGGTACTGGACGGCTGAAAGGTGTTCGTCCGAGGTACCAGGAGGAGTGTCCAGCAGGAGAAAGTCCAACGAACCCCAATCAACCTCACTCAAAAACTGACGGATCAGACCTAAGGAGAATTATAATTAAAAATAAAATATATCATTAAAAAAATTTTAAAAGATGCAGTTTTATAAAAAAAAGAGCAAAACGCAACAATTTCACTGAATAACAAGTTAATTTTTTTTTAAATTTTAAAGAATCTATTACCGTTCTTTTTAGGTCCTCTCCAAATAACTGCATCATCGGGACTGTCCAGCATGAATCCAACAGACATGACGCACAAATTGTCTTCAACATACTGGAAAATAATTAAATTTTAGCCAAAATATTGATTATATAGATTTGTTGTAAACTTACAATAGGAGACCATCCAGCATTACTTTGATGAATCTAAAGAAGTAAAATTGATTTATGAAAATTTTAAATATTGACCCAAGTTGAAGGCCTTACGGACTCATTTAGGGCCCCCATCATCCTGGGTATTGAAGGCCCGCAAATGTCCAAATCAACTACACCAATCTGTAAAACGAAAAAAAAATCCAATTTGGAAAACAAATAATAAATTGTGGAGAGGAGAGGAAATTGGTGCCAGTTTGTGCCAGAGCGAAAATTATTATAAAAATGCAATTTGGAATCCCACCGGCGAGATATTGATCTGGAGCCGTCGCCCCTGAAAATAGGTCAATGTGGTCCCGGCCTGGAAGGGATCTCCCCTAATTATTGATCCCCAAAATCCGCATGGCAACCAACAAACAACCACTGCAGACCTCCATTTTTCAATCCCTCCTGGCTGCAGGTAAGTGAGTCTTACGTTTTTTTCTGGGTCCCTGGCCAGTCCTCGGGCCAGCAGGTTGGTCACTGTGCTCTTGCCGACGCCGCCTTTGCCAGACAACACCAGGATTTTGTGTTTCACGTCCACCAAACGCTCCTGGACCAGGGCAACGCCTGCCGAGTTCATTGAAAGAAATGTTTTAGGAAATATTTACCTATATTATTAAATATAATTTGAGACACATGATTAGATTAAAAGGTTTTTTTATAAGTAATATGATAATAATATCTCATCACAATAATGTATGTAATATAATATTATAATTACATAATTTTATCACAAAAAGGCTTAACATTATTGTGTAAAATTTAAGGATCTTATATCTTATAAATGTAAAGATTGATACCTGGATCTGGTCCTTTCGGGGCTCCTGACGCACAGACATTCTGATTCGGACAGCCGGCACAGGCCGAAGCCTTTCCTGCAGCATCACTTGCAGTGCCCGGACAGTCTGAAATTGTTTGCAAAATTTAGTAAAAAAATTTTCTTTAAGCATTGGGATTTTGCTCACGTTCGGGAGCTTCTTCTGGAATGTCACTCATTTCTCTACCCGAATCTCAATTTCTCAATAAATTGTTGTCAAGCGTCAAATCTAAAGATTTTCTAGTTGCCACTGTTATAAATTGAAGAGAAAATCAACAACACAATTCAACTCCAAATCCAAAAGTCTCGAAGTTTCACAGCTGTTTTTTATCATACCGGTTTTTAAAACAACACATACCGGTTAAAATTTTTAATTCTCAATTTGTTAATTATTTGATGCAATAGTTGCAAATTAAGTGCAAGATGAGCCAAAATTTTAAAAATTAACAATTTTTTAATTTATAGCACAATATTTCAATTGTTAACAAGGATGTATTAGAAAAATTGCAAGGAAACTTTTTAATAAAACCGGTTAATATTGATTTTGAAAACCTGTTTCGCTAAGCCAATCAAAGTGTTCGAATTTTGCATGCTGGTCGCGGGAATTCATCAAGGCGCCAAAAATTATGACCTCAGCCCCAAAATATTAAAGATTTTTTTTTCATAAAATACATACTATATAAGTGAAATTAATATGCTTCAGTTTTTTTCAATTCCATAGTTCAGCGCCGAGGAACCAAAAATGGCGCTTCGCCTCGGAGGTGGCGGCGCCGCTGCTATTTTCGACTCCGTCGGCGACACGCAGGCCTCATGGGTTCCAACAAAGTGAGAAAATTTTAAAAATCTTCATTTTTTCCTCAATTTGAAACTTTTTTTAAATTTGCAGAAAGGCGCCGTACATTGCCGAGCCACCTCCGTTCGCTCTGTGCCCGAACCTGCCGAAAATCGCTCAGGACAGAGGTGTCGTCAGCGCCACCAGGGCGGCTCTTTATTCCAGACACACACCTCACGAGTGGTTGCAGAGCAACATGCGCTACTACCACGAGGCTGACTCGACACGCAACCTTGCTGAAAGGTTGCGTAGTGAGGCCGTTAGGGTTATGAGGTTGAATTTTTTAATCAAAAACTTTAACTGATAATTTAATTTTTTTTAATATTTTAAGGGAAGCGCAGGAATTGACTTCAAGCGCACAGCGGGACTCGGGCCGACGGCTGGGCGAACGGATTTCGGACACAACTTTCTGGCAGCACGAAGTCTCAGCCGAATTAGAAAAATTGCTGGCCGAAAGTGCTTTGCTGGCTGAGACTCGGCGGTCGCTCGACAAGGCGGCCAAAGACTGCGACGGGCCGCTGCACGTGGCCCAAGAGTGCCTCTACCACCGCGAAAACAGACAAGGTTTTATTTTATGAAATAAAAAAGGTCAAAAATCATAATTTCCTGTTTAGGAATTGATTTGGTGCACGACCAGGTGGAGATTTCACTGCTCTCTGAGGTGGACACGCTGAAGTCGTGCCAATCCCGGCTGCGCGCTCTCCATGACAGAGCCAATGAACAAGTAACAAAATAATAAAAAATTAAATTTTAAATTAAAATTTTATGAATTTTCAGCTGCGATCCAACAGAGCGGCCCAGCACGAGCTGGAACGTGATTTGCGACAAAAAGAGTCCGCCCTTGAAATTGACTCAAAATGCCATGGCCTCTCCAATCATTCAAAAGAAATAAATTTTTACTCCGGAATCGAAAAGGTTGATCCTACGTAAGAATATTTTTATCCATTTTTAAACACATTTGTTGACTCTTTTTTTCTCAAAGTGTCAGCGTACCTGAGACATGGGCGCAATTTAGCAGCCGCAACGTTCAGCGGTCGGCAGCCGAGCGAGCTTCGAGTCGGCAACTGCGTTCTGAAGCCGATCTGCTCATTTCGACTTGCGCCTCTGAAATGTGGGACGCCTGGAACAGGACCAACAACAACCTGGCAAAGCGTTCCTCTGAAGTCATGGACACAAAATCCAAGCTAGAAATGCATCTTCACAAGGTGAAGAACTCAAAACAAATAAATCTGAAAAATTAATAAAAAAAATTTAATTTCAGGTTCAACAAGAGATATTTGACGTTGAAAGAAACATGTCCCAGCTTCGAAGGGCCATTGCAGACAAAAGTGCACCAATGAGAGTGGCACACACGAGGCTCGAGGCGCGAATTCATCGACCTGACGTTGAACTCTGCAGAGACCCAGTCCAACACAGACTTGTCAAAGAGGTCGAGTCAAAGGTTTTCTTTTAGTAAAATCTGCCAATTATTTAAATTTCAGGTTCATGAAATTGAGACCAGCGTCGAGCGTCTGCAGCGGAAGTTGGCCGAGGCGGAAGCGCAGCACCAACAGTTGTTGCGCACCAAAGCTGCCCTCCAGGCCGACCTGCAGGTCAAAAGTAACTCTCTGTTCATTGACCGAGAGCGGTGCCTCGGAATGCGCAGGGGTTATCCCCTCGGCTCGACGGTCAAGTACTGAAGACGTCCAGACAAGCTTAGTCGTAGCCTAGCCTGTTAGACTCATTTTTTTGTTACCAAAAGGTTGTTAATTAATTAATAAAATATACGGAAAAATCTAAGATTCTTGTTCAAATAAATTCAGGTCGCTTTCTAAAAAAAAATCAACCGTTATTATTAGAATACATATTTTCAACTAGCAAACGAGCTCTTGGCTCATCTCTGGTGGTTTGGTAGCGGCAATTTAAGACCTTCGCGCGCTTCGAAAAATGTGTACGAGAGAGTGATGGTGTCGATGTACTCCATCTTCGGGTCGGCTGCAAATTCAGGGTCGATGTAGAAGAAAACTGGCATGTCCACCTTGAAAGATGAAATTTAAATAAATTTTATTTTACTAAAAACAAAAAATATTTTATTTACCTCTTCGTGGGGGTTGAGCATCTGCTCCTCAAAACAAAAGCACTGAATCTTGTTGAAGTACTGTCCGGCCTCAAAGGGCACCACGTTGTAAGTGCTGATACCAATGACAGGGTGGTCAGAGGGGTTACGAGCCTTGTAAAATGCCAACGCCGTCTCCCCGGGCTTAACCTGAGTGCAAGGTTAAGTTTCATTATTTCTAGATAAATTGACAAATTATTACCAAAATCTCCAGCTGTTGAGGCTTGAAGTTCCAACGCATACTGGCACCCAGGTCGGCGTTGAATTTAATTTTTATCACTCGGTTTTCAACAGGGGACATTGTCCCAACCTTCTCTTTGTCGTGACCTGAGGCTGTCGTGCCTCCATAGCTGTATGCCTGAAACAAAATAAAAGTAATTCGCAATGAATTAAAATGATTGGGTTAAATTTATGCTTTTGTCAATTAAAATATCATAAATTAATTTGAGGTTAAGATGTTTTCTTAAAAGTATGTATTATGTTCCCAGAAAATTTGCAACACAATATATTTATGGTGTAAAAAAAAGTTGCCTAATTTAATTATTAAAAAAAAATTTATTTCACATTGCTCTATTTCGTTTTTGGTAAAAGAAATTTAAACACTGGCTTATCAGTACCGATTTATCCAATTTATTACACTTTTTAAAACCTACTTTAATTGATCTAAAATAGCAAAAAATTTAAACTTTTTTGAAGATTGGTGGGATTAGCTAAGGTTGCTAAAATGTGGAACTGGTTCTTATTTCCTTGCTAGAAAAAGAGGCTTGGGCAAACTTTGGAAGAAATTTTTTTTAAATCGACATTAAAAATCCAAATTCGATTCAAAATTGTGCAAATTAAATTAAAATGGCACATTGAGCTGTAAATGTAGATCTGATGTAGATAAGATTAAAATCTGAGCTGTGGAACATTCTTATATCCATTTTTTTTTCTAATAAAATCAGCAAGTTTGTGCTTCCTAAAAAATAATCAAATAGATAACTTGGTTAAGGCCAAATTTGCAAAAATTAATGAAGATCTTATTATTAATATTATTATTTAAATAAATGTATACGAGACTGATTTTTGAAGGTCAGACAAACGTTGGTGTTCTGGAATGAAATTCTTATTTATAAGTACAATTGTACAACTAACAAAGCGACTTTTATTGATTTATCTTTAAAATAAGGAATGCATTTGAAATTTTCTAATTCTGGAGCTGATTCAGTTTGTTCTGCAAGTTGGCCACTTCAACTGCCAGATGTGCGGCGCGTTGGAAGGCCTTTTGTGCTTGGCGCATCTCGGTGGGCAGCAACACTCCGAAACGACGCAGAGCGTCCGGAGCGTCCTTGACCTCCTCCACTGAGCGGTCACCGTCTGTATCAGTGGCCACTCGGATGGCCGCCGTGTGGTCGCTGTCGGGGCCCGGCAGCTGAGTGGCCGAGACGCGTTGGGTGCCCACTTTGTACCGAGCGGCCGCCAGCAAGTGGTGGCCTTCGGACAGCGACTTGGCCAGTTGAAGGCGCGCGTCCAGCGTCGCCTGCAGCACATTTATCACTTCGAACAACTCGGCGTTCTGCACCAACGTCTGATCACTGCAACCGCCAAAAATCAGTCTCAATTTCTTTTTCTTTACAATTATTTTTCCGGTTATATTTCAAAAGGTTCTCTTTACTTTTTATTTCTGATTAACGCCCTGAAAATATTTGAAATATTTGTCGAAATATGGAGCTGTCCGAATGTCAAAATATATATATATATATATATATATATATATATATATATATATATATATATATATATATATATATATATATATATATATATATATATATATATATATATATCCTGATATGTACGAAATTACAGAGGATAAAAATTAAGTATTGTATTATTACTTTGTTACATAACTTTAAAAACTTGTATTAAAAGCTTTGATATAAATATAAACGACGTTTAAATTATCAAAAGAATGTTTTTAATAGATCCAGCATGCTTTCGGTATCAGTAAATACCTGGCAGAACATTCTGTAGAGGGGCACAGCGGCGTAGCTGAGGCCAAGGGTGAGGACTCCTGCGGCTGCGACATAGTAAACGGTGCTGCTGCCGGCCTTATGGCTGCCGCCGGTGCTCAGGAAACGTGCCGAATACGCGGGGAAAGTTCGTCGACACGCGTTGCGCCAGGCACGCAACCCGCCAAACAACATGAACCGATTTTTCGGCCCGTTTTCGGCTCACGAGTTCGAAAAACTCAAGAGAATCCCCGAATTTGTGCAGCTGGATGATAAATGGGGGTGTGCCTGTAATTGTGTGGTTCTAAAGAGATTTAAAACATAAATTATAATAATATTCAATTATGAGAACAATGAACAACCTGAACTATAAAAACAATAAAAATATAAAATTAAATACCATAATATACTTTTTATAAGCCAATTTAAGCCTCAGTATGCTGGTTTAATATGGTATTTGCATTGCATTAGTATTGCTCCTTAATTTACACCCTACTGAAAGGGTTAAATTGAATTCCTGGCTTGCCGCGAGCTCTGTCGGCGTTTTACTGAAGCAGCATGCGATTGAGCGCGAGTGGGACGAGAATCTTCGTCGCTCGCTCCTTTCCGCGTACTTGCGCGAATTTAGTATGCTGTGGGAGGTGGTCGTCGGAGGATGGAGCGGCGGCGGCGGCCTCGGGGAGTGGGGACCGAGCTGCGCGCCCTACACCGCCGCCTCCTGCTCAGGACCGACCTGAATGTGGAGGACCTGCGTGCCACTTGTCTGCCTTCAAACGCCAAGGATGCAGAACTCGAGGGAACGTGGGGGCGCCGAAAAACTCTGGCAGCGGTTGGCGCCCTTCTCGTCCTTGTGCTTGCCCTAGTCGCTTCGCTGCCCAACCTTCAGGATGAAATTCTCAGGGTAATTTTGACCTGCTTGTTTTAATTACACAATTATCGACAATTATATCATATCTTCAAAATGTGAAATATTTTTTTATATGTAATGAAGATTTAAGATTCCATTTATCAACCTTTTTATTTTTTTCAGGGTGCTTTCGAGCGTCGTTGCATGGTGGCCAACAATTTTCTTTTGATGGAAGCGTCCCGAACAGAGACGGACTGCGAAAGTGTGTGCGTCGGCGTGGACGCAGTGCACGAACTTCAAGAACCAACGCGCGCCCAGTTTGCAGCCCTTGCGTACGCATCGCATCCGGTGGTTGTCCGAGGCGCTGCCGCCAACTGGTCGGCCCTGCGCACCTTCAGTCCTGCCTTCTTCAAGACGGTGTACGAAACCTACACCGACGCGTACCTTGCCATCGAGCGTGACTGCCAGTTCTTCCCATTCCGCACTGAATTCTCCTCTTTGCACGAGGCTCTTAACATGGACCCTGACAGGATTACCTTGGCGCCTGGCACCAAGCCCTGGTATATTGGATGGTCAGTATTCCGAGTATTTCATTAATCAAATTCTTCGCCTGAAAATTACATTGCAAATCTATTTTTAAGGTTGATCATTGTCAGGGTACATAAGCTGGGCGACCTGAAATCAGGGTTTGAAATTCAGGGCGCAAATTTATTTCAGTTTTGATGTATTAAATTATGATACAAACTAATTTTGATTAAAAAAAACTTCAGATCAAATTTTTGTTTGGAAAGAGTGTCAAACTCCGACTCAGGGCATTACCCTTTGGATCGTCTAAATTATAATTTTAATTTAAAGTGGCCTTGTTTGGTATCGATTTGCAAGTCTTCGCGCTAAGGAAAACCATTCCTGGAGGCAAATTGCCAATAATTTTAGGCCATTTGCTTGTACGTGCGTTTTCTAACTACGAATATCTCCCATGAAATTGTTTTTCTCGTTAATACGTGACGTGGGCGCGCGTGCATCGCCCGCATACGTGTATTTTATTTTCCGCGATGCACTAGTTTACCGCTGAGTGAGAGAGCGATAAAATTATCTCCTTTGCGGGAGATAAGCAAAGCAGGCGGAAGTCTGCCCGCGTATTTTATATAAATATATATATTTGAATGCGCACGTATTCTGCATTAAATTTCTCTTTGAACAAGGCGTTCAATTCATCAAACGAATAATGTCTGGCAGCCAAAAGAAATATACGTGCGACTGGCCGGCGGCCAGGATCGGGCCCGTCAAAGAGTAGCGATCTCAAGGGGACACACAAGAGAAAGAAGGGCGATAAACACGCGTTAGCTTTTTTCTTTCCTCGGGGAAGAAAACATTTCGCATCGGCTGGCGGCGGCGGCGAAGGAGCAGTCGCGTTCGTTTCCATGGCGACGCCGGCGGCTGCTGCGGTCTGATCGACCCACCCTCTGACCCATACCGTAACAAGCACCCCTGGCCCCGAGCATTTTGTAATTTAGCCCAACGGAAATTAATCAAAGGCAGAAACGATGTCTTTCGATTCATTGGTTGCGAAAAAATAATAAATCTAGATTGCACCAAATCACGTCATTTTTTGACGTCCTTAAATTTAATGAAATATTTTTTCTTGTCTTTTCAGAGTTCAATGAACTTGAGCAGTGCATTTGAGAATTTCTTATTTTTGCCGACGATATTATTTATTACGGTGTGCGGCGCTCCGGGCAAAAATGTGCTTGCACTGCTAATTAAGGAGGCGCTCACTTGTCTGCTTTCGTCGTTGGGCGTGGGCGCAAAACAAATATTATTTATTAATTTTTACAGTTACACCTTAACACGTTCACCGCAGGAATTTTAAAATCAAACGTTTATTAAGTTATAAGAAAATTCTTTTCTCGCGGAAGGCTCCCAGGAAACGGTTTGATATTTATTCCGAGAGGGCTAAAAATATCCGATAGTTTTTTCCCCGGCCGGAAGTGGTTCGAGTTTTTCATTCATCCACTCGGCAGCTCGTCTCATTGAACGAAGCCCGCGCTGCATTATTTTGAAATTGGTTGAGATTTTTGAAACAGGAGAAGCAGGAAGCGGCGCGGGCCAAAGGCCAGATGCACCCCTCGGTCTAACAAGACAGCGCACCCTCTTTTATCCTTTCGTAAAAGAGCTTTTTCAATTACATCCTAAAAATCTGGCAAAAAAAAAGTGAACAATTATGCATTTCATAGAAGCGGATAACGGGTTACGTCATCGCTTTTGACGTGCTAAAGTGACGTGTATACCGAAGAATAAACTATAAAAGAGCGGCGCCTCCAAAACGGGAAGTGTCGTCACGATGAATGAATTAAAAGGAATGTATCACTGCTCGCTCGGCCAGACGCGTGAATCTGTTTCGGAAGTGATTGCGTCACTTAAAATTTCTCTCTCGATCAATTTCCATATCAGATTTTTTAAGTGAAAAATTACAGAGCAGAAAGATTGTGGTGCCTATCGTAAATCTTTAATGAATAGAGAAAATATCATTTTTTTTTTAAATCTACAAAATCAAATCTTTTGAATTTTCATGAGCTTTCTTTTGTCTGTGTATCTCCAGGAGCAACTGCGATCCACGCGTGGCTGAGCAGCTTCGTCGGCACTACCAGCGACTGCCCTTTTTACCTGAGGAGATTTCGGCCACGGACTGGATCTTTATGGGCGGACCAGGCCCAGGAGCCAGCATGCATGTAGGTTTAATTAACTTTTTAAGGCTTAAAAGTAAGAAAAGTAAAATTTTAAATTTATTTCAGAGCATTAAAGCTTTAAAAATATTAACAGTCGAAAAATAATACAACTTAAATTTAAACTTTTGTATGTGTTTTTATTTTAACAGTAGCTAATATTTATTTAAGTCTCCTGTTTTTTAATTTTACTTTAAATTTGTAAAATATCTAGTTTTTATAAATTAAACTATCATTATGTATAATTTTTATTTATTTTTGTTATATTATCTGCAAGGTTAAATATTGAAATTTTTCCTACTTTTTAATTTCAATCTACTTATTTTAACACTAAAATATACCCTAACTGAGGTCAAACATTGAAACTGTCAATGTTCAGAACGAGTTAAAATATCTTTCAACTGACTTGATTATTTTCAATTGCAGCTGGACTATGTGTCTCGGCCGTCGTGGCAGGCGCAGATTTCTGGCAGCAAGACGTGGCGTTTGGCGCCTCCACCCGAGTGCGAACATGTGTGCACCTCCTTCAACCTGACGGTCAATAAAGGCGACGTCGGTCAGTCTCCCTATAATAAAAAACCAATTTTTGTGCATCTCCAAATAAATATCATATATCCTTTCAGTGTTGATCGACACGAACCAGTGGTACCACGACACCTTCGTCAACCCCGGCGAGCTGAGCATCACCATCGGCTCCGAGTACGGCTGACTTGTTGATAGACCTATTAGGCTTAATTAGACGATGCTATACACGTGCTTCCGATTCGTCGTGCCAAAGTCTGAGGAACTTTTAGGGACAGTAGAGGCACAAGTGCCAAAAACACACACGCAAAAAGGTGCTCAAAATAATTAAATATGCGCACGGCCTTGCGAAAATAAATTCTAATCAAAATAAACAAAGACGACCACTTGACCAGAATTAGTCTGATTTTCGCTTTAGTAAAAAAACAACCGATGTATTTTTGTTGTCGGGCTTTGCAGCTCTATATTAGTGAGTTTTTGTTCTTTTTTACCACACATCCTGTTTTACTGTTAGAATCTATGATTAGGAATTTTAAATTAATGTTGTTGTTGTTGCTGTGATTTTTGTACTTTTGCCAATTTTATAAAAATTGAAGCTGTATTAAAAGTATATATAATTACGGCAAGGAACGTTCTTTTTGGCTAATTTAAATAAGGATAGTTTCTATGTCGCTGATTTTCTAGTGAAACTTAATTTTAAGCTGTGCATAATTCTTCCTTATAAATAATAAAAGTTATAGAAAAATGATACACAAAAAAATCTGATTGAAATTTTATTTAAAAAAGCGCACCTTTGCAGTTATAAAAATTAAAATTATGTAATTATAAAGCTATTAGCTAGTTTTTGTTTCGTGACATATTTTTAGAAATATATGTTTTAACTGAAGAGTAATTCAAGTAATTGTCACTCTTGTCACCTGAAAATTGTGCACGAAGGATGTGATTAATTGCAAACCTTGTGAGCGCTGAAATAGAAACCTCACGGTTTTCCGCTCGGACGGCCGCACGCCATATCATCTCCTCGACCAAGTCGCCTATCTAATTGGCAGAATTTCACCCAGAAGTTTTAATTGTCAGTTCAAAGGTTGTTACGAATTAACGAGAGAAAGACGCGTTTCCCCCGCAAAATTCAACTGAGAGTGACGTGCGCGCGCTTTGAGATTAGGGAATTAATTTTCGCAAGAAGCAGGGATGAGCGGAAGAATAAAAGGGCCACCTCTGGAGGTTGACTGCCAGTCTCTCGAAAGATGTTCCACGCAAAGTGCTCAATCCTTCTCGCCTTCGCTGTAAGTCCGTTTATTTATCAAAACAAAAAAATAATTTGTTTAAAATATGATTCAAAATTTTTTTTAACTTTTATTATTTACAAATTCTGTTTTTTTTTTTTAAATTGAAATCTGCTGCAATGTATTTATGAATAAATTAAGTTTTAATGAAATCAACGGTTAATATTAAATTTTTTAATTTTAACTTTTTTTATAATATTGTTAAGATTTAAAAAAAAAAGATAATTATTCCTTTAAATATTAAAATTTTAATCAATTGATTTTTTACTTGAATAGAAACTAGAAGTTTATTTTTATTTATTTTATTTTTTTAAATATTCTACTAAAAAAGTGAAATTATAGATATTCCTTAATATAATAAATTTAGTTCTGACATGCATTAAGTAAATTAATGTAAAATATTCACATACATACTCTGCAAAGGTATCGAAAAGTTTGTTAATTATGGTTATTGAATTTGGATATGAGATATATAGATTTATTTTCTTCTCAATGCAGCATTGTATTGCCTAAAACTGAATTGTAAAATGCGGAAAAAGTCCTACTTTTTTTTGTAAATTTACAGTGATTTACAGGTTAAATATTCACGTAATTTTGTAAACAGGGTTTGTGTGCTGCGGCCCCCGCGGTGGACCACGAGGCGGCCGCCCAACAGCTCCGTCCTACAGCAGTGGGCCCCACCAGACGTCCACAGCCGCAGCCGGTTGTGCCTGTGGCCCTGGGACCTTTGCCCAGTGTTGGCACTTTGGCTCCTGTAACTCCGCCTCAACTCGCGCCCGGTGACCAATTTTTCAACCAAAGCCCCGACGGCCAGTTCTCCTCAGGGTAAATTAATTGGAATTTATTAATTTAATTTGTGCTAGATTTTACTTCAATTATCTTTTTAATTATTATGTTTATTTTTAGGTTCCGTAGTGCTGACGGAACAGCTGTGTTCATGCAGGGTGACTTGGTGCCCACTACGGATGGAAAGGACGTGGTCATTGTGAAGAGAGGGGCCTACTCGTATATCACGCCCGAAGGCCGCACCATCAACGTGCGCTACGTGGCCGACCACCTCGGCTTCAGGGTCGAGCAAGGTGACCAGAGGGTTTGAAGATGAAGGACTGTTAGATTTAGAGAAAAATAAAAAGGACTAATTCGAATTTGCAGTTTTCTTTTCATTTCTTGATCATCAACAACAGATAAAATAATTTACACAATCATGTTTCAGTTTTGTTTTTGTAACAATAATTGCTAATTACTGGAGGATAAGTTGCACTTTGTTGTTTAAATTTTTTCTTCTGTTTTGAGTAAAAAGGTACAAATTATACTTGTAAAGTCACTCAGTATCACTTGCTTGGCAACGGGTGAGATTCGAACCGTTTGCACTCAGTCTGGCACCACGAGCGGCGTTCGACTTGTGTCGACCACCGGTGAACGGGGGTCACTTTAAATGCCCCTCTGCAGTCTTGACCTCGAGCAGCTGTGGGTAGTTCTCGACAATGTTCAGCAGGATGCCGTCGATGTAGGCGCGCAGCTGCACATTCACCTCTTGCTGCTCCCTCAGGGCCAGGCGCACCTAAAAAGTATTTCAAGTGAAAAATTTGCTGATTTTTCTTTAAAAGGTCTCAATACATTCAGAAATTTCTAGCATAATTCAGATCCTGATTGCTTCATTATAAGATATTATTCGTTAGTAGAAAGAATAAATATCTTTCATAAAAATAAAAAATAAAATAAAAATTACAGTTACAGTTACAAGTATTATTATGAAAGCAGAACTAAAAAAGCTGTATCTCGAGCATTTCAAAAATTAATGCTCTGTTGATTTTTTTTTTAAACAGATTTTCAAAAACGCTTTTAAATTATTCGGCAAAGATCTATCAGGATTTCAATTATGCAATTAGTATTTTCTGAAAGTCGTTGAGCCCTTCAAACTTTTTTGTTATAAGATAAAATTGAAGTATCACACAGGTGCAAATTTGTCATATTTTTAAAATTTGGATGTGAACTGTGAAAATATTTTTTCAAAAACGTGCAACGCTTTGGGAATTCCACAAAATTCAAATTCCCAAGGCTTGAAATGATAAAAAATGCGAGAACTGACATTCACCTTGTCGGAGGACATTTCATCGAGTTCGTCTGCAAGAGAAGGACCTCCAACAGGTTCGCCGAGCAAAGTCCTTCCCTGTTCGAGTCCTCTGCCCAGAAGTTGCGCCTGAGCTTCTTCGAGGGCTTCTTTCAAGGTGCGCACCTCCTCCCTGAGACATCGCGCCTCCTCCTCCAACTCAGGGCTGCGACCTGGAGACGCTGGCCGCCCCCGAGCCGCCTCCGACACCTCCAGTCGAGCTTCTTCCAGACTCTGGTAAAAAAATTATGTTGATTTCTGCAAAATTTTTACTTTTTTGTAAAATCACCTGTGCTGCGTCTGCGAGTTTCTGCTCGAAGGTGATTCTGGTCTTGGCGGCCTCCTCATGGGCCTCAGCCAGCTGCGCCCTGAGGACCTGTGTCTGCGCATCTGCCTCTTGAGCCATTTCTTCAGCAACACGCCGACTTTCGCTGGCGCGCTCAAGTTGACCTCGGAGTCGCTTCACCTCCTCCTCAAGACCTTCCGAGCGCCTCTCAGCTGCCTGCAGTCTGGAAATTTCAAACAGAAGTTAAATAATAATGTATAAAAAATATTATAATAAATTAACTTGGAAATAACATAAAATATAATTTAGTTAAAAGGAGAATCTATTATTCTTTACATTAAAAAAAAAATAACTCTTATTTGTTAAGTTTTCAAAACACAGAAATTAAATTTGTGCATAAACAGTAAATTTACTGGCACATTTTCCCCTCATATGGCAAAAATATGATTTATCTCTTTTAAATTATGGTTAGGGTAGAAAACACAAAAGGTATTGCTATTGTCCAATATTAAAATTTTTGGCAAAATGCATTATAATTTTTTTATGTATTTTAATGAACATTATATATCAGATCATAAATTAAAAAAATTATCACATTTCTTTAGGAGCTTTAAATTTTCATCTGAAATTCAAAAATCCATTGTTCTTTTTTTACCTGATGGCACTGTTTTCTAGTTCAAGTTGTTTTTCGCGCTCGAGACGAGAGGAAAGGTCCTTTTGTCGACGTTGTTCCTCCTGCAGACGCTGCTCAGCCCTGGACTGCTCCTCGCGCACCTGTTCCTCGAGGATCATCAGTCGCGCCTGCAGAAGGGCGTTTTCGTGGCGCGCCCTGCCATATCGGTCGTCGCTCGTGTTCTGCGTGTCCGCCAACGCAGTGACTTGCTGCTGCAGCATGTGCACCTAAAAAATGAGCAAAATCAAATTAAAAGTTCAAAAATTCTTACGAATGTAAAATAAATCAATAAGCAGTAGAAATTTTCAAATTTTCAGAAAGTTCCGGAGCAAATATTTCCAACTTTTATGTGTTCAATAAAATATAAGAATTAATAGAAGACATGTGGTGAACATTTTGAAGCTCAAGCGTTTTATAATATTAATTCCTGCCAAGCCGTTTCTTTGATAAAAAAAAAGTGCTTGCTCGCTAATGTGGCGCGCAGTTGTTGGCATAAAATTTGCTCCCGAGTGCACGAGATAAAAATAATCGCCGCTGGAAAGAAGACGTTTCATTTCGCCAGAGCGCGTGTTTTCCGCCTCGGTCAGCGCAGACGAAAATAAAAACCCTTGTTCTCTCTATCTCGCCTTGTAAATGAGCAAGACTCTCATTGCTCGTCGCGGTTTAAACGCCAAAATCGAAAGGAAAATGAGCACAAAGATAGACAAAATGATCAACGCCGCCATTTTTCGCTCGGAAAAATTCGATCAATTTTATTTGGGAATTCTTCGGGCGGTAAGAAATCCCCGGCATTCAAATTAATGCTCGTAAAATGTAATAATGCGGTGCACGGAGAGGAAGATGATGTCACCGGTGGCGGCAAGCTGACGCACGGAGTTACTTCGAGCCAGCGTCTCTCAATTGGGCCCAAGGACGGGATCGAGGTCTTGGAAATAAAAATATTCCCCGGCCAAAAATCTGACGAGAAAAACCCAATGGTTGAAGCCCAAAAATATTGATAAAATAAATCATTAAATTGTAATCTAAATTTTTAGAGTGAAAAAATACATCTAATAATTTTCAAAAGAAGTTATTATTAATTAAAATTTAAAAAAATTATTATTGATTTAATTAAATAGGTCCTCTGCAACTTTTATCCCATGTGAAACTGGAATTACCAACAAGATACTTAAAAAATATATATTTTAATTAATAAATAAATAAAATTAGGGATCAATAATTTTTGACATATTATTAATTTTATAGAATAAAAAGTATAAAAAATCATCATTTTTTCAATGTTTGAAAATAAATCAAATTAATTTAATTGACCCTCTGCGATGCCTGTATGATGGGGAACTCACTTGGTGCGCAATTCGGGGCACTTTTGAGGCCCCGTTGGCCCCCGTCCCGGGCGGCCGGTTGGGGTACAAGGGCCCGAAGAACTCGAACTGGCCCTCCCACATGTCCATCTCCATCTCGGCGGTGGCGTCGTCATCGTCCTCGTCGTCCATCGCGGCGCCACCATGGGGATCCACTCAAGAGCCGCTCGGCTCGTTTACTGCCGACAAGTCGGACGGCGGCACAACTTCCCCTTCAACGCCGCCCGAGAGGGGTCAGAGGTCACGTGGGTCCGAGCACGTGCATACATAAATTCAATTCAACCAGAATCAGCCGATTGCACTTCTACGATACTTCCGCCGCCCAAGTATATTTTATGTGCAAGTACAAGCCCTACCCTAGTAAGACTGAACTTTTCAAAGATGAGTCGCAGCCCCACCCATACCAAGAAGAACCTCTGATGACTCTTTTGCGTTGGCACGCCGACAAACAAAAAGATCTTATCTCGTCGTGTTTGCTTTTTGCAAAGTTTCTGCCAAGAGTTTTTAAAAGAGGCAGAAATTTGCGTAATTTTTTAGCCAACAAATAATTATTAATTATAAATCTCGTTGCTAAGAAATATTTTTTTTACAAAGTTTCTCCATTTTTAAAATTTCAAGAGAACAAGGACACAAAAATATTTCCGTTATCTATGATGGGAAACTTGTGAAATTTTCAGATCTGTCATAAATATTGCCGCGTGTTTTGACGTTTTGTCTGATAATAATTGTAGATTACAGTTATCGCAGCTCGAAGGAAAATGAAAATACCAAACAAATTGCGCAAACGGAAGGACTTTTTGGCAAAAACAAAACTGACCTTTCTGTTGAGGCCCATGACGTCTTCCTCTAGGGACGCGTCCGAGCAGTACATGTCGTCCGGGTCGCCGCAGTTGGAGCTGCGCCCGCTCGAGTTAAAACTCGCACTCCGGCACAATCCACTGAAAAAAAGTTGAATAAATTCACGATCAACTTGGAAAAAACACAAGGGGAAAAATAGGAAAGAATGTCCAAAATTAAATCAAAAGATCAATGTTCGTCGGCTTTTTTTAACAAGAATTTGAAGGCATTTAATAATTTCAGAAAATCAAAATTCCATAGATTAAATTGTTATGAATCTTTAAGTACTTTAATGATTTTTAGACACTTTTAAAAAGAGAACCAATTGAAGATAAATCTTTTCCTACAAATTATGTTAAAAAAATTGTAAGGTTTTCGTTTATGATTGAAATTCTGTAAGGTTTCAAACTTCTTATCAATTATTTTTTTTTTATTGGAGTAAAGAAATTTCAATTGGGAAACAAAAACAGAGAGTGATTTCTGATATAATTTGCTCACTCTCAATTTACCCAATTAGGTTATATGAACGATGCGCGCGACTGCCTTTTTTAATGCCAAACAAACCGACATTTCTCCTCGTTAATTGGGGAGACGAGTTTCATTTTTCGTATTTATGTGCAGTGAAAAATATAATATATAATAATAATAAGCAACAAATTGACTAATTACCTGGGCACCGATGCACCATTCGCGCTGATTCTCTTTCCACTCGAGCTGCGAAAAAGAACAAATATTTTTCATTAAATTTAGATGGTCTCTTGCTAATTTTATAAATCATTATTATTTTATTAACTCTCTCTTTCTCTCCCACAATCCGGTCGGCGAGGCAAAAATTTTGCTCACTGAACGAGAAAATGAGAGAACGGCCAAAAACTGTTCAGTGCGCGCTGAAAGAATGAAAGCGATTGCGAATGATAAAGAGAAAAGCGAGCTGAATTTTAACTTTTTTATTGGAAATCTGAACTCGTGTGACCTACATAATTATACGTCTTTTCCATTGTCAAGCTCAAACACGGTCATCATTGAAGAGAACAATTTATTGTAAGTTTTCAAAGTTTTTAGCAAGGATATATAAACCATTAAAATATGTATCTTCATATTTTAAAACTAAAAATAATAAATAATTCAAATATAAATCATAAATTGGATTTTATTTGCACTAAAATTTAGTTTTCTTGGGATCAAAATTCAAAATGCATGTCTTCGATAAAAAATATACATTCAATCTATGAAATCAAAACCTTTGCTTTCAGCTTTCAAGTACGTAGGACGTTGGTCAGGGTTAAATTTCAACCAGAGTTGTCAAGTTAGTTTTGATGAGTGGGTTATTATTTTCGGATTGTCAGAGCTCGGTTTTTTTTAATCGCAGAGTTTCGCGACAGGAGAAATCGATTCTCAGAATACGGCGACATTTTTATATATACACATTTTCACGTGGGAATCGCAGAGAGAATAAAAAAAATGTTGACGAGAAAGAGATTGCTGGCGGCTAAATATATATAAATGCGCAGGTGACGCAATTGTGCACTGTGACGTGAGATCAAAAGCCCACTTATGAAATTATTTTATATCACATTTGTATTTGCATCACGCATATATCTCTGTTGGCTCTTTTGGCTGCGACCACGCCTTCAAAGATTAACGCCCTTTAAACTTCTTGTGTGCCCACTTGTTGCTAGACCAGAGTGACTCACCGGAGCTAAAAAAGTCACCTTTTATTTTTTCCCCCCAAATAAAAAGTTTTTAATTTTTTCAAAAAGCCGTATGTACACAAAAGTGCGTCTCTATGTCTCTAAATTTACGGTTTGTCCCAAATTCCACTCAATGTAGGTCGGTGCGCCGGGAAAGCGACCCTGATTCCCTGAGCGACCTGAATTCGCGTTTCCCGGTTGGGACTCACTCACCTGAATTATCAGGACACGGTGGAAAAACGAAAGAGAAAATTAGTTTTGAAAATAATATACACCAGGCGATGCGCCCGAGAGACGACCTGAACGCCGCGAGGATCGTAACTGAAGAGCCTCCTGACCGGCCCTCCCCTCCCGCCGCCCTCCCCGCCACCTGGCAGCTCAGGGCAAGAGGCCACTCACTCTCAGATGCCCCTCTCGCTTTGCATCTTCATTTGCACGCCATGTGATTAAATAACGCAACAAAACAGGATGTGTGTGTTGAAATTTAAATAAGAATATAAATATACAATACATGTTTTTATGCGGAAAAGTGACGCGAAATTAAAAGCATAACGTTGTTGTGATATGGTTGAAAAAATCGTGGCAAAAATGAGATGAGGCGAAAATATTTGAATTAAAAAAATGACTGCCTACTTTTCGTCGTCAGTTTGTTCTATCTTTTGCGTCGCCTCCTCCACCACAATAGTCCTGACAAGTTTTATTTTTAGTTTGGAAAGTTTTTAATTATGAAAGAGTAAAAAAAATGAAATTTTCACTCACTGTCTCAATGATCCCCATCTTCGACCAATGGCACTGTCACCGCCGGGACTGCAATGAGCAAATTGTATTAAATAATGTAAATAAAATTTAAATTTACTTTCAAATTTAAGAAATAATTTACTTTGCATTCGGAGATAATTTTCGTAGTCTGCAACATATTGTTTACCAGAATAAATTAGACAAACTGAGATAAAAAATCTTCAACACATGATAAAGCTGCTGGCAGAATTATTTTGCAATGAAAATTTCAAGTTTCACGCAAATATTTGTTTCAATTTTATGAAGATAAATATTTATTTGAAGCAATTGTAGCAGGAGAAAAACTTAAATATTCGAATAAAAGGATATAATTATGTAAGAAATAAATAAAAATAATCACCTTGTGTTTGTCGGCGTTCGGCGTAAACTTGATCGTGACCACGTGTTCCTCTTGAGCAACATCCCCGGAGACTCCCTGAATGAATATAAAAATGAAAAAAATTATAAAACTTTCAAATTATGCAAATTTTGGCGCAACCAACCCTTTATTGACGACGGGGGAGGGCGCGGGCGAGCCCTCGCCGAGGCACTCGTAGCTCTCACCGTCCGACATGCTCGAACACTGGCTGCTGCTGCTGCGAAACAATCGGGTGGAAAAATGAAAAGTGGCCGAATAAGCAGAAACACATAGACAGTATAATATAGTTTGTTGCACCGACAGCGAAATGGTTTCATCCAAACGGCAACAAGGAATTTCATAGAGTGCTTTTTAAGTCTGGACAAAAACAAACTCTGTGGCTCAAAAGCCCTATTGAAATGATAAAAAAATATATATCTATTCTATAGATTCTATAGAGTAAGAGTGTTAAATGAGAGGAATTAATATACATATAAATCATATAAATAATTTGATACACAATCATATAATCACAGAACTTGATCAGAAGATAATTTTACTTTAGCATGCTATCCAGGGGTAATAAATTTTTGGGTCTGCAAAATATATAAATTGATTTTTGACAAATTAAAAAATATGGAATCACATTTTTGGATGTTATAAAGTTTTATTTCAACTAAATTTTTATAAAAAAACGTTATTCAGGTATTTCAACACCTCTTGCTTGCTTGTTATTTTTTTTTTTTAATAACATTATAAACAATATAAAACTTTTTTCTGTAAGGATTTCTTGTAGAACCCTTTGGCACTAGAGTCGTTCACTTTTGATAAATAAAATCCAGCAGGGATTTTCTGTTTCATTGAAAAAAAAAAACGAATCAGTTCATTTTCACCAATGAAGCCGGATTTTAGTTCACCATGCAATTTATAATAGTGAAAAACCAATTTTGAGTTGCCAACCTGTGATTTGTGTTCTTGGGGTCGAGTGACGGACTGCCGAGGGCAGAGTCCATGTCCTCAAGGCTGCCTGGGGGGCTGCGAGGGCCGGGGGGCTCGGAGGTGACCACGAACGACGGCGTCGAAGTCCCCAGCATCGCCCCTAGTCCTCCTGCGCCTCTTTGCTGTTACCAAAATTATAAAAATTATCAGCATTGCGATTAATTAATTTTGAATGTCAAACCTTGCGCGCTGCTGGGGGCGTTATTTTCGGGGGCGGCACTGCAAGTGGGTCGAATGTCACTGCCTGTCAATCAAAGAGAGAAAAATGAGTATATGAAAACAAATAACTTTATATAATTTATACGTTGCAAAAGTACATAAGCAAGCGTGCCGCTCGGTGTTTGTCTGCAGAGGGTTTTGCGTCACCAACCCCCTTAAGTCCCTCAAACGCCCACGGTCTTTAGCAAGGAAGAAGCCACCCCGCGAAAAGATTTCAAGGCCAATTGATTTTCCATTCACAACGTTATGGAAAAATAAAGTTTTGTGATAAAAATTCCATCAGTTAGAAAAAAAAAATAACAATCTGATTTTAGTCCTTTATTATTGTTTTTAATTAAATTAATTAATGAATTTTTAATTCAGAATTAGAGTGAAAGCAAAAAAAATCAGTTAAAAAAGTATGAACAAAGTAGTGGAAACACAAGCATCTGCAAAAATTTTGATCTTCTTTATCTTTAGAATGCAATTAACCTTTTAAAAACTTTTTGCCTAAAGGATGGATTAAACTTTATTAACTATTTTGAATTTCACATATGAACTCTATTTTTCCCACGAAAAAAAATAGATTGATCTTTTAATAAAAAAATCGCAAATTTTTGCCCCAATTTTATTTACAATTTCTTTAGTTGCAAATTTAAAGTGTTCAAGGAATCTAAATTACTTAAATAAATTCTGTGAAACTATTAAGAATTCATGTTTCCTTTTGTTTTTTTCGTGTTTAAAGACCAATTATTGTCCCTCTCTTTAAATAATTTCGATTAGGCAAAAGTTTTGAATATTGCATTCGTCTCACGTGGCAGTTGGCGCCGGCGGAATCGATCGCGAGTGTCGCTGACCCGCCGCAGCATTCGGCGCCCCGACCGTCCCAACCCCCGCACAAGACGGAATGTCCGCAGCGAATCTTTCCAACTTGAAAGGGAAAAAACAAAAACAAAGGTGAAACAAAACCGAGCCGCGAACAGTGGGAAAAAAGGCAAAAGGCAGGCGTGTGATTTCCTCTTGGGCAGGAAACGCACGAAAGCGGAGCAGCGCAAACAAAAGAGAGGAATAAAATAAAATAATCACATCACCGAGGGCAATTTGTTCTGACAGAAACTTGTTTGTCAATTTATGAATACCAAATGAGGTCAATAAATTTAAAAAAAGTATTTTTATAATATTATTTTAATTACAATTGCAACTAAAACGTTTTAATATTTTAATTTTAAATTAATTACTTTCATTAAATTAATTTTACAATAAAGACAGAATTTTTGAAACTTTTATCCAAGATCAACAAAAATTTTATCCTTATTTTCATTTTTTTTTTTAAATTTAGTCTAAACAATAATTAAAAATACAAGAATGATGAGACAATAACTTTTGTTAAAATATAATAATATTAAAGTTAAATTTTTTACAACACTTGTAAATACCTAAAATGTGTGCTTTAAATAAGAGAACAAGCATTAAATAATGCGATCAAAAAATACAGGTCGCCTATTTTATTAGCACACAATGCGCGGCTTGAGTAAATAAATCACCTTGGGGTGTGCGATAAATTTTTATCTCTGGAATTTTTACAACGCTTGAAATTAAAATTTCCCACGCCTAGCAGCCCTTTATTTGTTTTCATTTGCTGGGTTTCGCATTTCAAGAATTACGCTGAATGCGTCTGAAGGTTTCCAGGCAAAAATAGACTAGAAAAATGCCGTCTGCTCGTGTGGTTATTTTTAGCCGCACTTTGTCGATCCCTCTCTTTGTTTTCTCTAAGTGCAGCAGCATCCCTTTTTTCGCCTTGAGACTGCACCGCACTCTTCACGGCCGGAAATTCATCCAGGCACCGCAAAAGACAGATGAAATCCAAAACTTCCGTGTTGCAGTGAAACTATAAAAGTTCTATGTACATTTAATTTAGGTACTTAAAGAAATAAAATTTAAACTACTCTGATTGCTAATAATTTTAGATTAATCTCTAAAATTGATTTTGTTCCAATTAGCGTTGCTCTTCTTGAGGATTAAAAATTACTCTAAATTTTTCACACTAAAACAATTTAAGTTTAGTTTGACAAGTACCATGAATATTTACATTTAACTAATGGGCAAGGAAAAATTCATGCTGCAGACATTTAAATTCAGCAAAATGTGAAAACAACGCCACGATTATCCTTGCTTGTTCAAGGATTTTCCCACACCTGCGCTGCGAATGTTAATAAAAGTGCGGGATTATTGCGAAATCTCAGTTTGGGAACTCTCGACTCTCGACAAAAAATTCCTTGTTAAAATTCACGAAAATAACAAAAATATTGTAAATTGCAATATAACTTAAATACAATATTATTTAATTTTTAATGTTGTATAAATTTGAATTTGTTAATTTTGATTTCCTTATTTTAACCTTTTGTATTTTCCCAAATCTTTAATACGTCGCACATCTTAAATTATATCATTAAATGCCATTAAACTTAAATTAGATATATAATATTTACTATTTAGAGGGTTTTTCCTTCTTAGGTCCCGTTTGTTATTTATTCATCGTTTTTGTTGAGAAAGAACACTTCGCAAACGCTTGGAGCGTATATGGAGTTTTGTTGTCGAGGCAACTACGGGCGCCAAATACACTTTAACAACATGTGGAAAAAAGGTATAGAAAGTCTCACCCCCACAAAATCCTCCCGTGACTGGACACAAAAAATGCTGCAGGTGCACAACAATAAAAAGCCTTTTAAGTTTCTTATTTTTTTCCTCTTTAAATTTTTAAATTTGAAACCTTCGAAGGTGTGGTAATTTTTCTTTTGCTGATATTTTATATTTTTGCTACGCTGTATTTTTTTCCTCGCGATTGCAAACGGTCCTACCGAGAGTCGATGCTTGGAAAGCGACAGGTAAATAGAAAGAAAACAATCATGGCCGCGTCTTCTTCGCCAGCAAAGAGAGAGATAACGAAACTCTGCTGCTGCCTTTTTCTAGGTCGACCGTGCAACGGCCCCGCGTGCATTCGGACAAATTGCCAAACTTTAAAAAGCAAAACAAGAAAAACCAAAACATACGGAAAAAGAAAAACACCACACCGAATTTAATAATTAATTCACAAATCTCCTAAAATCAAAGAAAATTACTTGAAAATTACAACTTGATTTAAATAAATTTTCACTGTTGATTTGATATAAATTAAGGGCAAGAATGGGCTTGAATCTCACCTGGGACGACGACGAACGGTGGTGACGGGCGGACACGGACACCCTCTCGGCGAGAAACTCGCTGACTGACTGTCGCCCCCCGCGACTCTTCTCCTCGATTCTCTCCGCTCGGCCGCGAAAGCGCAAGGCCGGCGCCGCGAACAGGCCACCCACTAGTCCTCCACCCTCTTATTCTAACCCCTCAGAAACACTCAGGTAATTTTTAACCTTTTCCTCTCAACTCGTAAAATTGCCATACAATTTTCCTTCTCTACCGATTCTAAAGGATTTTTTAAATTTCCTTCAGATTTAGCTGAGACTGGGCTACCTGCAAACTCGACTGCTCCGTGGACGGTCACAGGTGAGTTGGCGTCGTCGACGAGAGTGGTAAGCGCGGTTCCCCCTCTCCCTTCGGCTCACCTGACTCACTCTGCGGCGCCGTGACCTGCAAAGCTCCTTTGCCTGATGCCCACGCTCAATCGCTTTTATTAAAAAAATCCTGCTTCATTTGCTCAAAATATAAATTGTGTAGCCTTCCAGTGACTCTATTGAAGAAAATTAAGGTTTTAAAAAGGGCATCATAAATAAATAATCATGAATAGTTAAATAAAGGTTTAACGATTTGCCATGCTTAAATAATAGGTATTACACAGTTAATCGATTCATTCTAATCACCAAATTGTTATCTTTCTCTTTATCTCACTCCTCCATATGGCAAAATATGACTCATATTCGATTTTGATCATTTCTGCAATAAAGCTCAAAAAATAATAATAAGTGCTTCAAATTAATTAAATTTAAAATGTAGAATATTTATTGATTTATTTATTTATTCTCCATTCAGATACAATATGAAAAATCACAACATCTTAATTAAATAGAGTAACGAGTAGGTAAAATATTGTTAGATAAAAAATTAATTCAAAACAAATTTTAGCTAAATAATTTTTTTTAATAATTAACTATTAACTAGATTTATTGTAAAACCGATATTGAGATTGTTGAAAAATAATAATAATTAATAACAGTAATAAATTTTTTTTTGCATTTTTTCATTTGATTTATAAACTTAAAATTTAAAATGAACATAACAATTTTTGAAATTTCTTTTTTGTTATATTCAATAAAATGTTATATAAAGACTATAAACAAACTAAACATCTTAAAAATTATGAAGTTTTACTATTTATTTATTTATTCTTTTAACAGTCGCTATGCAATAAGAGCAATGCTCCAAAGCGCTTTTGTGGAGCACATCAATATATTAATCCAAACGCGTTTTCTCTCTTGCCAAGTTGGCAGAGAAAATAATTGTCACTTTTGTAGAGAGCGCGCGACACATCTGGAACAAAATCCAATTTTTCCTTAATTGGATTTAAAGAGAATCGTTTTATTAGAGCCGCGTGACTATTGCGAAATTATATAAACTATAAGTTGAACAAGAAAATTTATGTAAACTGCCTATATAGTTATATGAGCTATGGGGTGTAATTATGAAAGTGCGTGTCTCGCGGCTTTTTTGGCATTTGAGATTTTGGTGACGATTTTTGTCATGCCACACAAATCCAAGCACGCGAGAGACCAACCAGGCCGTGTGATTCAAATCTTCTCACCTTTAATGCGCTCACGCGCGCATTTTCAATCCTCTCATCTGTTCCTCATTTGTATGCGGCAATACTGTTATTTGTCCATTGTCCTAATAAAGCAGTTAAGACGGTAAGCAGAGTTAATTCTTTGCGATGATTTAATATGGTCCTTTGACAAAGTTGATTAATCCTCACCGTGCTTGATTTCTCTGGGAAGTTTCCCATGAACGTTATTGTTTGCATTTGGGAGAAGAGCAAAAATCTCGACTGGATAATATTAGCGTATTAATTAATTCAAAAAAATGATTCATGAACTTTATTAAATGAGTCTACTGAAAAAAAAAATTTTTTTGGAAAATTGGTTGCCCTAAGAGGTTAGAAAAATATTCAAAGCGTTAATTGAAAATTCCAATTTTACCATTTAGCGGCTGTGAACAAATTAGGTATAAATAGGAACAAAAATATAGTATAAGCTATTTTTTTTTTATTAAATTAATAACTTATTTTGACTAATCGCCTTTTAATAATTAAATTTTAATATTATATATGTTAATATTAGATAAAATATTAATAATTCACTGTTTCCGTGAGATTAACCGATGAACATAATTTATGCAAAATTTGTTTCTCTTTCACATTAAAATTAGTCAACATTCAGGCTCAATAATTATAAAAGTAATCATAACGAGAATAGCAGCTAAAAATTTATTTATGAAACCAGACGGCAAAATGAAGCTTTGCAGGTTGCATTGAGTAGTGAGTAGTTATTTGTAGACTTTTGCAAAAGCGGATATATCATGCCCATTGAATACATTAATTTAATTGCTTTTATTTAGAATTTCTGCAAGTTTCACCCTTTTTCACACTATTTGCTGATACAGCTGAAAAGCTGGGCTCATTATTACAGACAGATTCCTCTATTGCCGCCTTTGATGGTTGTAATTGATCTTAGTTTGACTTGCCACCGTTAGGTGGTGTTTTGTAGGCTTTTGAACTTTGAACCAGTCGAGTCGAAGACGAGTTTTCAAATGTTTTGTTGTTTTCGTTTGGTCTTTAACTTTTTAGTCATTCATGTTTCGGTTGTTTTGTGTTTTGACGCAACGAAACGCTTGTTGATTTCACAACTTGACGGATCTGGAATCAGGAAAAACATCGCAGTTTGCTTCCATTTCCGATACTTTTGGTTAGTTTTCAACTCTTAACCGTTCAGTATTATAATTGTTGTCAGGGTTAAGACTTAAGACGTAAACAGTAGGGTTTTGATTTTTGAAAATCATGACTAGCGGAAAGAAAATTCTCCGCTGTCAACATAATTTTATAATTACGAGCATAATTATGTAATTTAATTTTATGTACCAAACCAAACACCAAAACATCTCCATAATGCTCATAATTATTTATGTCAACCAAAAATCTCCATACATACATAAAAACAAATAATTAAAATTTTGTTTCAGCCAATTCATAAATGAAATGAATTATTATCATATGTATGGTGATGAAGATCCCTATGATGGAGCAGATTACCTCGATTTTGCTCAAGAAGCTGACGAACTTCAAATGAATTACGATCTGGTAATGGATTATTTAAATGAAGAAGATGACTATGAAAGGTATTATTAATTTAATTAATTGCAAGGGGAATGATAAACTTATACACAAGTTTTGGTATAACAACTTTATTTTATTTTTTGTATGTAATCAACAATCGTAAATTTGTCATTTTTTGTATTTACATAGTACATGATTCTGCGGTAATTTTAATTACTTGATTCTAGCAAACTTTAATTTTTAATAACACTCGCAAGAACGATTTTAGAAACATATGTTTTTTAAATGTAATTAAATGCACTCTTAAGAAAATGGGCAGAATTTTATTTTGAAATAATTTTATATGATGCTATTTTTTAATAAAAAAAGATGAAATATTTAAGAAATTATAAAATTTTAAATTCAGATTTCCATATATAATAATATATAGTTAGACATTAATATTGAAAATTGTCTCAAACAATTAATAAGTAAATTTTTAACCTCGCATTTAATTTTATTAGCAATCCTGAAATCGATGAAGAAATTCGTCTGCAAACTTCAAAACTGCTCTTCAACTCATCATTGACAAACAAGTGCCTCAATGTTTTGGTCGAGGACTTAAATACTTACTCAAGATCTAACAATGCAATGTTGATCACATTCAAGGACTCTGTGGCCAATCTTCGTAAGTTAATTAATAGTAACTTAAATCATTGATCAAATTATTAATTGAAACGGCAATTACAATTTGCAAAAGAGCGCAATAAATAAATTCATATTTGGGGAGATCTGTGCTTAAGCTTAATTATATTATACTCTCCGTAATTCATAGACATCTCCTGAAAATACTGAAAAATTTTATATATATTGAAATGATGCAAACTATAATTTAAATCTACTGAAATTCCCAAGTGAAAAATATTATTATATGCTAAGATTCTCAGAAAGGCAGGATATTATTGTGTCTTATCCTCTTTTAAAAGTACGTAATTATGGATCACAAAATTTTTTAAACGATGAACAAATTTTAACAGCTCCGACTCTGAAGGCGTGTTTGTTCAAGAAACTTGGACATGCCAATCATGGATATAAGGGGTCGGAGAAAATGGATCCCAGAGTGATTTACATCATCATCTCTCACCTGCTAGGCCCTCAAACCTCAGAATTCAATTTTGTGTGGATGGATCCGGAATCAGATCTTGATTTAGTAGAAAAGGTACAATGGAATTTAAAAAAATTACCAAAAAATTGTATGTTCTTTTTTTAATTGTATTTGACTTTAAATTTTTACAGACATACAGGTTCCTGGCAAGCAAGTGTCATAACAGCCTTCGCAGACTGATCCACGGAAATGAAGGCAAAATCTCTCGTAATTCTAGCTACGAGTTGAGCTTCAACCGTCTCAAGTCTATCTTGTACCTGAAAAATCTGCAGCATTTGCAGCTACATGAAAATGCCTTGAATGATCTGGACTTCCGGCGCATTTGCCACAAACTGGTCAACCTTCAGTATTTGAGCTGTGAACTTGTAGATGTTGCTCAAGATGCCCTGGCCAACGCCTTAATGCCTTTGAAGAAACTGGAGGTGTTCATTTTTAAGGCGTGGACCCGCAACATGAAACTGAAACCTCTAGAATTGGTTGACTCTTCCAAGCTCAATGGGTTCTGTCTGAAAAATTTCCCCCAACTCAAAGTCATTGGTGCTCAAGTAGGCAATGAGCATTTCCAAGCACATGATAGTCGTACTACTTTTCACCATTTGGAAAGGCGTGACCTTCTATCTGGCAAGACTCGCCAGTTGCAGCACCTGTCAATCAACAAACCTCTCACAAACGAGCAGGCAAATAAATTACCAAATGTCACTTCCCTGAGGGTAAAAATTAAATCAATCATTCTTAAATAATTAATTAATATAATCTTTTTGTAAATATTTAGATTTCCGTTGGAACGGAATTGGCGCTTGATATCGGGAACCTAGTCCAGTTTGACAAGCTTCGAAACCTGACTGTTGAGTGGCCAACCGAAAATTCCACTTACGACAAAAATGTGCTGATTTGGCTCCTGCAGACCTACGGGCCTCAAATTGAGTGTTTGAGCTTAAGAATTTACCCTCATCACCCTGAGCTCACTTTGTGGGAGATTCATGCACTTTGTCCTAAGCTTGAAAAGCTTAGTCTGGATCACAATTTTGTTCGTGGATTAGATCAAGCAAACCTTCTTGATCCCAGCACAATAAACAATTTGACCAAAATCAGCATCACTGGCTGGAGAGAGAGGTATGTAAAAAGTATTTCTTTGTTGAACTAATCAAAAAACAATAATTGTTTTCAAAATTAAATTTTACGTCGCTATTATAATAATTCTAAATTGAATTTCAGATGGGGTTCTGAAAAATTGCTGTACCAACTGTTCACTCCTCCCAAGCTGGAGTGTCTGTGTTTGTGGGACACGCAACTGTCGGATGACACTGTAGAATGTGCAGTAGAAACAGTTAATGATGGACCTCAAAGCATTTCGCCCAGCCTAAAGGAGTTCCGAGGATCGGCAAACTTCAGTGAAGAGTGGATGACTGTCAATGGTATCAACAGAAGGAGTTTGGCAGCCTACTGGGGATTTTTTGTTGAGATGATTTGTGCCAGGGCTCCAGCTCTGATGATTGTGAAATTTGATTACGGTCACTCTGGTGCTGATGCTCCCGAGGGTCTTGTTTCGATGCTTGAAAGGGCTCGAATTTTGTAGCCTTTGTAAAATAAAAATAAATTAAAAGTAAATCTCTGTTCTTTTCTATTATATTTATTTATCATTAAATTCTATTTATGCTTTTTTAACACATTATAAATAATTTTTTTTCGGCTCGTCAGCGGCAAACCATTGATCAATTTTGATAAAGTCTGGATATATTTCTGAAACCTCAACTTTTCACAATAAATTTGCCTAGCAGTTATCACACTTAAAAACACGATATAAAATGGAAATTTGATATTTAAATTTCTAGCAAAACGAAATAATCAAGATGTCAAATTAGGGAACTCCATAAATAATAGCATTTTATACATTTATGAATTAAATAAGTGAACGTAGTGGCACTCTTGATGTAGGGGAAATTTTTGCTGTTATGCTGGAAAAAAATCAAAATTTGGAAGAGATGTGCACTCGAGAAGACATTTATGAGGTAAAAATGGGCTTGAAATATTCACAATTTTATATAACATGAAGAATTATCTTTTATTATCTCTCATTAAAAATGGCTTTTCACATCTTGAACGACATCAAAAAAGAGACAAGTGCGATGACCACAGCAGAAACGCCTGAAACGGAAGTTGCTCCGTTGCAGTAGGATGTCTTGCAGAACCCGCACTGGTAGTTTCCTTGGACTTGCTGGAAAGTTTTGCAGACGTCGTCGTAACCAGTAGCGCAGCCACGCACCACCCTTTTAATGTGACCGTGTTCTGCACAAAAATAAAATTAGGGATTTTTTTCAACAGAATTAAGTTTATACTATACCATCAAGATAGGTGTGCTTGACACACGACTCCAGTTTTGCATTGTCCTGATTTTCGGTAAATGCGCTCCTGAAAGTGTTGAATACGTCTTGGAAGGAGGCCGTGCAGCTCATGGCAACAGCTTTGGCTGGTTTTTTGAACGGATCTTTGCAGTATTCCTCATTAGGCCTTTCCGAATCGCAAGTGTGACAATCCAGGGCTGAAATTTAACCATCCGAACTTTATTAAATCACAATTATTTTAATAATTTTTTACTAAAAATGGCTAAACCACATTAGCAATGATAAATTTTTGATCCAGTTGTTGGTTGAAATACCTTGAGAAACGCCCAAGAAGAAAAGAGAGACAGTCAGGCACACGAGAACCTTCATTTTGCAGAGCTGGGAGAAAACTGGACTTTTGAGAGAACCGACAAACACTTATGTCTCTAATGACCACGTTAAACATCCTGTCCTGACAGAAACCCCAGGGCAGGGCGGACGTGGTTAGTTAGCGCATTGTGTTTGAAGACCACATAAATAAACATGATTAACAGGGAAAACCTAATCTAATCTCAAACTTTGAATAATAAAAATATTGAAATTGAAATAGTTCCAGAATGAAAATATTCAGATACGTATCTTGCAAGAAAAATATTTCTACATTAAAATTTACATATATCTTTAAAATGAAGTGCATGTTTGATAAAATTGATTATATTTTACTCAGAAAATTTATTATTTAAACAAAGTTTAATTTTCCTCTTTATTTAAATGAAATAAAATATAAAAAAATTGATTTTTATTGAATATTTCTTTAATGCTTTTTTTTACTTGTATTTCTAGCTCCCTTTATCTTCAATTTGTGGAGTGACTTCTGCATTATAGGTTTGAAATTTGTTGAAAATAAACATGTGACTTGCAAAAGAAACAATAATTTCTATTATTTTATTCTTCTCCATCAATGCGAAGAAATTTAAATTGCAAAAAGTGAAAGAAAGGGTTTACAATTGCAAAAGTGATCAGTTAATAAATGAATCATTTATATGTAGGGCGACTGGCGAGTCTGGGAAGTTATGACAAATGATAAACGTGTCACGTGAGAAATGTAGTTGTCACAATTTATTTTTGTGCACCTTATTGATTTAATTTTGTTCTACTGGTCTTCTGTAAAAAAAGAAATCATGAACATATATGTGCTGGTGTTGGAGGAGACAATTTTATAGTTAATTATCAAGCATAAAATGTATTTAGACTTCTTTAGATTTGAGAAATTGTAATTTAAAAAATATATTTAGTATGAAACACAAATGCTGCACAAATGTATTTAATATAATAAAAGGAATATAAAAAGTGTATCATATGAAAATATAATAAATACAAAAACAAGATTGTTTTTATTTTAATATAAAAAATTCTTTAGAAAGGATAAGCTAGTATTACACAGAATGCTGAATTTAAGGAAAATTAAAAAAAAATATATAAATATTCAAAAATTTTTAATGATTTCACTTTTTAATAAATTTTTTTTCTGCTACTTTTGTTTTGATAGTTTTAATACACATTAATTAAGCCTGTTTGGAAATTCAAAACGAGTGTAAACGGAAATAGTGAGGAGTGTGAAGTGTGACTTGACCTCCGGTGGCGGTGGTGGCCAGGGCAGAATTTTGAGTTGCGACAAGCGAGGCAGAGCGCAAAAGCGCCCATCTGGTGGAGGGCAGAGCAGTCCAAGGTGGCACGGGCAGTCGCTTCGCGGGTCTCGCCCAATCACCACCTCACCCTGCGGCCGACCCACAAAGCAACAGAGCTGATTTTTCCACTTCACCTTAATATCAAAGGTAAGAGATCTCTTTTCTTCAATTCTCAATTGCACCCCCACCACCGGAAAAATTTTGGATTTTAGCTAGATATTTTTTTATACAAAAAGTGAATGCGAAGGAAATTTAATTAATAATAATCCATGGACGATTGAAAATTTTTGCGAAATCTTTTTAGATGAAAAGTATATTTTCTCCCTCTAAAACTATGCTCCTTTTAAGACTGAAATTTTAGTAGGAGAATCGTTCTGGGTAATAATTTAGATTTAAGTCAGGTATAGAAATAAATTAGAAACCAATATGAAAGTACAGAGTTCAATGCTTTGACGTTGTTGGCGCGTCAAAAAGTGCTCTGAATCGTCATTCTCATGTTCGGGAGGTGCCGCAAAGCCCCGAACTTGCCTGCTTGTGCCGTTTCCTCGAGTTGTTGGAATTCCTGCACCAAATGAGGGCATTTCATTAAGTCCAGCGGCACCTGGCTAATGTGGTAGGCTTTCCAGCCAATAAGCATCGAATGAAGCTTGGCAGGATCATAGACTATGCAGACTATTAAAAATTATTTTTACAAATTATTGAAAAGAAATTAAGGGTATATTAATATTACATACATTTTTGTTCTAAAATTTGTGACAGCACAGATTTGCAAAGTAGACGCACTCATACTTTTAATGATTAAATTGTATGTGAAAAATTTTAATTATCTTGGATTTCGCAATTACATTTAAATTGATAATATTTATCAATCAGCTTAGCAAAATAAGAATTCAAAATTCTGTTTGAATAAAGCCTAAAGTAGTCATTAAAATTAAGCTTGAAGTACAAGGAAATTGAAAATATTGCAAATAAAACATTAGGAAAATTTTATCTTTTTTTTAAATCAAATAAATATTCAAAACAATTCATGGTCAGAATTAATTTGAATAATTTTTCCACCAATCTCAAATTTTTAATTCAAGCAATAGAAAAAAATCAAACTAATATTATTCATAGTAAAATTTAATTACAATTAATAAATTTTATGAAATAAAAAAATCAGAGCTTTAAATCTTGATATTTGTCCTTTTATTTTTTAAGTAATTTTTTTTTTTTTAGTTTTTTCACTTCTGACGAGAAACCTGGTTTTAATTTTTCATCAATCAATCTCATTCCTTATTCATAATGTAATGTTGAAATGTCAAATTCCCACAGATCATTTTTAAGAAATGTAAATTCGTTGGATTCAATTAATATTTTTTAACAAATATCAATGAAATTGACATAGAAGTAGATAAGCTGGGTGAAAAACGGCTCTGCAAACAACAATGAACACACGTCGAATGTATTCCAAAGGGAAAAATCCAGAGAGAGCTCATCTCAGGCGAAAGAAAAATTCAGCCTCGTGAATTTGATTATGCCATCAGCAGACATCATTGGCAGCGTAAAATGTTTTACTGCCGCATGCCACTTCTTCTTCCAGGTCGTAAAATATTATTATTGTCCGCATTCTATTTTTTCCTTGTGTACGTCTGCATGATTGCCGAGAGGGAGGCTCAACTCCTAATGGATAATATCGACTTGCACTCCCGATAGAAACTTGTGCATGTATTTTTACTTATTTGCAAGTGGCGGCGCCCGAGCATAATTCCGAGCAGTTGCCTCTAATGTCTGGGGTGAAATAAAACCGCCCGAGGAGAAGAAACACCCGGCGGCAAATTATTATTGTATGGGCTGCATATGCAACCCGCCATGCTCCACGTGTATCTTATTACGCCGCCGAGCCTCTCTCTCTCTCTCACTCGGAGCTCGCGGAATTAAATTTTAAATTTCAACTTGCCTCACGTAAATTTGAAAATAAAAAAGCAGGAAGAAGGCGAATGAGGGCTGCGAATTGCGCGGAAAATTTTACGAGTGTGGCGCAAGAACTAGTCTAGCGAGCGCTGCTGTGCTTGTTTTCGTGTCTGCGAATGAAGCATTATTTCGCAACCGTTTCTGGCACACATTGAGAAAATTATTTCAGCATCTAATTTATATGCAAAAATAGCAGTAATTATTGTTATTTGCATCGGGCCCGTGTATGCCTTTTGAAAAAAAAAAAAATTTCTGGCGAACTCACCTTGAAAGAGAGAAGGAAGGCAATTAAATTTTATCTTAATTTGAAATTTGATTTTTTTAATACAATAATTTAATAATTAATGAAAATTAAAAGAAAAAAATTGAGCTCACACTGAATGATTGTATGTGATGGAGAAACTGAATTTGAGCTACAATATGATAATTTAATGATGAAAGACCAAAATTAGTTGCATTTTATTTTCTATTTTTTTTTTAAATGATCAGGTAGGTCCCTATGCTGGGATCAGGAAAGACACGGATGGTCACTTAATTTAAGGAATTCACAAACAGTCTTGGCGGGAAAGGAGCAAACAAATTCAAGCAGAATTTTGCTATAATTTAAATTAATTATTTAATTTCATCACAAATTAGGTATTCTCATGACTTCAATTATTCCATATTCGCCATTTTTCTTTAAGTTAAATGAAAAGGGATTGTACAAAACCGTCTGTAATTATTTATCTGATTATTTACGCGGATTTATTTCTGTTTGCAAATTATCTTAAGCTTTTTTTTTTAAATATAGTTATTTTTCGTTGCAAATTGATGGATCGTCTTTCACAATTAAAATAAGTCGCAGTGGAGCGCTGTGCCAAAAGCAGGTGAGAAAAGGCGCGTGTTGCTTAATTAAGGCGCTGACACAATGCCAGCCATGGCTTTTCAACTGGCAATCAGGGGCGCGGAGACGAAACGAGAGCCCTCGCTTTCCATGCGGCGCCCTCTCAACAATGACAGACCACTCGCTGCGCACGTTCGGTTAATTGAATTCGCAGTCTGTTTGTTGGCAAACGCTGAAAATGCGCCTTTGCTCCTCGTAAAGTGGAAAAGTCACAACACAAAGTACTTTCAACATCTTCTTTTGCTACTTTATGATTCAGTAAAAAAAATAAAATAGATAAAAAGTTTAAACAAGTAAGCTGATTCTGGCCAAATTAATTTTTATCTTAAACTAAAAATAGCTTCAAATCACCAGCATTTTATTCATTGGATTTGCATTTGAATAACTGAGTGCTTAAGTGGATTCCCAGCAATTAGATGTTATTTGCTACTTCCAAAAAGAGAATCAATCACTCCTATAAATAAGATTTTTAAATAGAAACAAGCAAATTTCTACAGATACATAATAATATGTGCCATGATCATTGATCATATGGCCAAATCCCTTTTAAACAGTCTAGATCCTCTATACCTGTAGCTTCTCCATAAATTTCCTTCAAATATTATATTTTATTATTCATCAATCGCATAAAATTATTCATATTAAAAAGTAATATAATAAGATTTATAGTAATAGATATTATCAAACAAAGTCTTTTCAACAAAAAGAAGTCGATTCCTCTGGGATTATTGTAAGACTATTGGAAATTTTATCCACCATTTTCAATCAAGACTTGATTTGATTCAATTTGATTACTGGCCAATAAGGAGTCCTTTCATCGGTTGTGGAAATAAACAATCTCTATAATATAACCCAAAGCAAACAAACCGTGATGCCTGGAGCAAGTGTTGAAACCGTGTGTTTGCAAAAGCAGGTTAGTTCGTTGCAGTTACACAGTAATTAAGTTTGCCACGTGTCGAAACCCTCTGGCGGCATTCAGACGACCCGAAATGCAACTTGCACTGACGAGGGTGAAAAATCGGCCGAACTAGACGAGACTCTACAACTTTTCTGCTGCTGCCACGAAAATAAAAAAAATCACTCGCTGTTGCAGGGAAGCTAGAAATTTATAAATGTTCTTCTCTCAAAGGCAGCTGCGGCCGTTTTGTCTATAATGCAAGCAGACACTTTTTCTCCTTTATATGTGGTACCGCACTTATTCACTGCAAGGTGAAGCAATTGTGCTCGCCGAGGTGGATGATCATGCGCTGCATTTTGCATACGTGCGGACGATACCGTCCAAGGCTGGAGAGAAGTGAGTAAAGGGCTCGACTTCGTTTAAAGTGAGATTGAACTTATTCTCACTGCTGTGGTTTAAGTGGCGGATTTGCGTAATGGATTTTCGTAAATAATTAATTTCTAAAAATTATGAATTTTTTACAAATATTTACTATTTAAAATGGGTTGGAAGCTTCTTTTCCTATTTTTCATTTTTCTTTCCTTGAACGCAGCTGGAAAAAAAATTGAAATTGCAAATCTCGAGTATCATGACGGACATTAACCAAATTTGAAAAATGATTTTTTAACTGCCGGGTATATTTTAACTTGAAAACGGGCGTATATGAATTTGTCCTTATAAAAGTTTATTGATTTTTTATTTTATTAAAAAATTTTAAAATTAAATGCAATGATAATACATTATACGTTTATTATTTTAGTCACTACTTTTTTTATGTATTTTACTGATGAAATTAAACATTTTACAAAATATTTCGAAAGTAAATAATTATGAAATTTGTCCTATTTCACCATTATTGCAAAATTCCAAACAAACTGTCGGGGTCACATCTGGTATTTTGTTTTCGCAGCTGTTGCGAAAAAAATAGTCCATAAAACATTCGGTCACATTCTGTATGTGTATAATAAATAATAATACTAAGCTTAGTTTTCCTGAAAATGAAATGGAATCCATGTATCACATTGCATGCCGTGCCATTAAATTTCTGTCATCAACACACGGTTTTCATCCAGCTCGGAGTTGTCAATTGAAAGGATCAAATTATGAGATTATAGAGAGTTGAGTTTCAACCAGTTTCAGCCTTTGTTTAATCAGAAGTTAGATCAAATTAATAATACTTAATATCAGAATTTTCAAGATTACTGGAATGCAAACAAGTGTTTTGGAGTCGCATGTTTTATTTTTCCTGCATAATATAACCATATAACAAATTGAAATTATTTATTAAATAATATTTATGATATTTTGGAGCTTGGCGTCAAAAACTAATTAAAAATGATCAGTTCATTAGCCCCAAAGAAAATTATTGACTGT